GTACCCATGTACCATAACGGAAGGTGGTGACGGTATCTACACCTGCCACCGGCTGCCAGCAAGTCACTGGCTGTCCACCCTTCCGCAGACACTCCGTCTTTATCACATCTACCCGCAACATTTCTTCTCTCCTCATCCATGTCATCACCGGCGCACGATTGATCCATCACGAAATATCGTTGCATCAGCAGCTCGACTAAATACAACAACTACGCTTGATAGCCCGTCAGGAGCTTCAATCTAGTACACCAGGCGCCCCAAGATAGTCGGGTCGATGATTCCAATCTCTGTGCCTATGGAAGTGAGTGAAACGTTCGAATAAGTTGCGTTAGAAATTGTTCTTAATTGATGGCAGGTCTTTCCTCCTCGGAGCAGTATCGTATTCGAGCCACCCGTAATCTAGCGATCCTCAATCCTTCGAGATCCTGCACACAACGCATGGACAGCTCGATGCTCCCTTTGCAAGAAACAACGAGCCATAAATGTCCCATTGGATGCTTCAATCCAAGGCAACCCGAAGCGATGTAACATCCGAGACTGCGAACAAGGCCTCTTCTAAACATGCGAGCCGCAGAGCAAAGCACATGCGACGTCAGCGACATCAATCAGAAGACGCCCCAACGATCGCACACGGCTAGCATCGCAGATATTATTCGCTAGAATACAATCTCATACCCCAGCGTGACGTCGCTCACCCAGACCTGATGTGACTACAGCGTTCTCACTGATAAGGGTGGCACGGCACTCGCTTACTCGCCCCTCCGCAAGATCGGGGGACTTTGGTCTTTGGATAAGCGCTCTATCTCTGTTTCAGATGGGCAGGGGTGTTCTTTACATCATGTTGAGGGAAAGGAAACAATATCACGTTCTCCAGACGCTCGTAGCTGGGCTCATCAGTTGTTACCACACGAGTCACGGCAATCTATGCGAGCTGGTTACCTTGACTGGCTCTCCTATTTCGCACGGCCAGAATACGGCTAACGATAAGCGATCGGCATTCCAGTTGGCATAGCAAGATTGAGAAAGGTGGAAAGAATTTTATCAACAGCCGCATGGTGTCAACAATTCAACTGCAGGCGCCCCCTTTGGGCCGTTCGCTTGCATTCAACATGCCAAGCGGCGGTACCCAAAGCGCAAGTGAACCCAGCAATACCACCATACCTGCAAAACAAATCACACCTCCCCTGCCCCCAGGAGGGGTATATAGTTCAACGAAACATATCCCATTGGACGCTAGTGCAGCTCAAGGCGGCTGGTTTATGCATTATGATAGCTGGAAACATCATGTGCCAGTCTAGTTCTACCGTAGAACAATGATCGTCTACCGTTACCAAAAAAAAAAAAGGGGGGGGGGGGGGGGGGGGGGAGGGGAAACTCCATAACTGCATTAAATAGGGAAACAGCATAGAACAGTAGGCCAATTTTACATCAATCTCCTTCATGAATGGGATACTCTCCTTGGGCGTGAGAAGGAGGCAATGCTTGTGTGTCTTGTAGTGATTCACGGTTCTGAAAGCCATAAAGCCTAATTTACAACAGACTCCAACATCAACTCAAGTGTCACTAGCTTAGATGACGCGAAGGGAACACAGAAAACTTGGATCTCAGTGTGATCGACCTTTCATTCACAATCCATCGGCACGTTGTGTGCCACTCCCTCGTACAAATGGCTTGGCAGGAAAGGTGTTATTCACTGAGGCTCCAACTCGATGCACATGATTCTTCTCAAACGAGAAATAATCTTCCGCATAAAGTGGGACTCAGGTAGCATATTTGAAGGGAAACGTTTACCTGACAACCCCAACGCTTCAGAAGCTAATGCATTATGCAACAAACGTCGAAAAGGGGCCCGACGTACCATTCGCTTCTCCTCAGATGCAACCTCGACAGTCCTTTATCGACTATTTACGTAGTTCCAAGCCATCGAAGGAAATCACAACATACGTGGCTTCATTCAAGTGGCCAGATAGCCTGGATAGCTGCCGCCGAGACGCTTCCGATGACTCGGCAACAGGGATGCTACTCTTAAACTCAGACTTTGATAGTCCATCATCTCTCCCCGTGCCCCACGCTTCATGAGAGCAACTGGTATAAATTTGACCGCAGGAAGGTTTACTTGAGCCTATCCCAAAGCTTTTCTTCGGCATCAATCTCCACTAATAGTTTCTACAATGGATCGAGTTGTACTGCCCTCGATGCTTAAGCCAGCCCTTCTCTCGGGTGGGCAAACAATAGTGTTACTATGTGTATTTCCATTCATAATTGTGGTATGTGATCTTTTTTTCGCCGCCATGTTTAGAGCATGGGAGGCTAACAACATATTGCAAGCTTCTTCTGTTTCTACTGTTGGGCCTATACAACATATACCTCCATCCACTCGCCAAGGTACCAGGTCCAAAGCTTTATGCCTTTACTGTCATACCGCACTTGTATCACATGATTAAAGGCGATTGGCATGTTATTCTCAAGGAGTTGCATGATCAGTATGGCCCTGTCGTTCGCTTTTGTCCGATCAGTGTCTCCTTCAATTCCGCTGAGGCCTTCAAACATATTTACGGGCACAAGAGTGCTGGGGAGAAACCCTACGAGAAAGATGAGATGTTTTACGCTCGTGTGCGCTCCGTAGAAAACATCTCGTTCACCACCAGCGTGGGGCATCGCCGGCACCGGCGCTTGATATCCCACGCGTTTTCGGCCAAGGCACTCAGCAGCCAAGAGCACGTCCTGAAGCAGTACTGTGACTCATTTGTCAGCAACCTTGAGAAACACTCCAAGCAGCAGGGCGGAACTGTGGACATTGTCCGCTGGTTCAACTTTGTGGCATTCGATTTGATCGGTGACTTGGCGTTTGGAGACTCCTTTGGCTGTATGGACCAGGGAGGATACCACCCCTGGATTCACGTCGTATTCAGCAGTGTCAAATTTTTCATCTACCGGTATGTTCTATGTCGCCTTAACCTGGAAGGAATTGTTTCCATGCTGCTTCCAGCCCGCCTGAAGAAGGGCGCCGAGGAGCATCACGCGTTCGCTCGGGAGACGTCCATGCGAAGAATGGAGGCTGGTGTCAAGGATCGACCAGACTTCATGTCGTACATCCTTCGGTACAATGACCACAGGGGCTTAACCCCAGAAGAGATATTCGAGAATGCCAACTTCCTGGTTCTCGCAGGGAGTGAAACCACGGCCTCGCTTCTTAGTGGCATTGTTTTCTATCTGCTGAAGCATCCTGACATCTATACCAAGCTTGTCAAAGAAATCCGGGGCGCGTTCAACAACCAAGAGGAAATTTCACTCGATGGAGTTGGTAAGCTTGAATACATGCTCGCCGTTCTCCAAGAGGGCCTCCGAATGTGTAGGTCGACCTCATCTCCCTCCGCTTGCTTCTTCTGACTGGACTAATCGAACCACTCCAGGTCCTCCAGTACCGATGGAACTCCCCCGTAGGATACCCGAAGGTGGAGATATTATTTTAGGCCACTGGCTGCCTGAGAATGTAAGTGAAGCTATATGGCGGCTCTAGGTCGTCACTGACGTACCCCTCACATAACCTTCGGATAGACAAGAGTTGGCGTCTCCCATTTCGCAGCCTTCATGTCGTCCTCAAACTTCCGGGATCCGGAATCTTTCGCCCCAGAGCGATGGATGAATGATCCCCGGTACGCGGATGACAAGAGGGACGCGCACAATCCGTTTTCCGTGGGCCCGAGGAACTGTGTTGGTCACAAGTAAGTGTCTGTGTCTGCTCATACATGCCGAAAGCCTCATCGTCTGCGAGAAGACTAACCAAAGAACCAGTCTGGCCAACGCGGAGATGCGGCTGCTCCTTGCTTATCTGCTGTGGAACTTTGACCTGGAGTCAGCTTCTGGTAATTTTGAGAAGTGGGCGGATCAGCAAGTCTATGCCACATGGCAAAGACAGGATCTCAACGTCAGGTTAGTTAGGGCTGCCAGGGAGTAGGTTTTTGTGTGATTACCCTCTTTTGTTGCTGCGAGTGAGGTCTGCTCGAGATTGGATGGCCACTGGATAGGATTATGCAGAAAATTGACCAACTGTTATTTGTTAATTGAGGCGTATCTAATGGTCAAGATGATGAAGTATGGGCACATCTCTAATACTGGTTGAAATCCCGAGAAAGTCCCGAGGCAGGACAAGTGCATGCCCACTGTACAGCGGTTGCCTGACTGTCATAGCTGCCTGACTGCTACGGGACAGTTAGGAAAGACCTGGAAAGACCTGGCTCCAGATCGCCTTCCAGAAGGTGAACAGTGGCAAGCGCCCCGCAAGCTTAGGCCATGGTCCGCCGTAATGACCTGCCGTAATCGCCCGCTGCAGCATTTCTAGGCTGCTCAGCCTCCCAACACGGGCGCCGCAGCACCGTCCAGCGCCGATGAATCTGCCCCAACAACCCTTCAAGGTTCAATTGCCTTCCTCTGGCTTTGCCTCAGCCAACGCAGATCACCTCGAGAAATCACCCAGAATTCCCGTCATGCGTATGCCGCCTACATGAACCGTCATCTACTACCATTGTCCTAGATTCGCCGCGATATTCACAGACAATAGCCTAGATTTAGCCGATCCGCTCCGTTCGTACTACATCCATGCTACCTACTCTACAATCAGTATCCGATGTCGAAGCCAGCCAACCCCATGCTTCTAGGCTGAGCAGTTTTCAGGTGGGAAGTCCAAGATGAAAATCCATTGTGCAGGCACTTTAATAACCAACCCTCAAGTCTTCTGCCACCACTGACGATGTACTGTCTGCGCAACCGAGCGCGACTCGGCTGACCACCAACCAACTCGTGCATAAGTGCTTCCAACCGAACTTCTGTCGCTATACTCTACCTATTGCGCCACTCGACATTGAGGATCTGGTATTGAGGTCACCGTGCCCCAGGCCGGCCGTGGGGACTTTTTCATGGCAACTCCACATGCCGCCAAAGGGACCCAAGAAATAGTAGCTGGCTTCTGCAATGAGTAGGTCGCAATCGTCCACTGTCAAATGAATGCTGCGTCGCGCCGAAAGCCCCAAATCCCTTCCTGCCTAATGGGTATGGCTTGTAGAATATACCGCAAGGCGGCATCGTGTCATTGCATTCGCTGACTTCAGCGCATAGAAGCACAGGAACCTTTGTCTAGGACGTAAACCCGCGCGCTCTTGCTCCCGATTCGCCTCTGCCGACCGAGCTTCCTAAAGCGACAGTTACCATTGCCCATCATTATCAATGCGCGTTGGAGCTTGGACCCGAGATGACAGAAGGCCATGTCGAGCTGCCTCATCTTATACAATGCCAAGACGCCAAACCCCCTGTCATCTTCAGTGATGCGACGTGAAATTCAGGGGCAAGGAACTTTATTAAAAAGGTTGTCTGGATGGAGTACAGAAGACGTGATCGACAGTCTAGGCAGGCCGAGGGAGCGCCAGGGATGGATATATTTGAAGAGAACTCTCCCCAAGATCTTCTCGCATCAAACTCAGGGCCACATTCATTTTGAGTGACGATTAGTAGAGTCCGCTTGCTCCATCGTCCGTCCATTCTTTATAGCCACAATGAAGTCTACAGTTCTTCTCGGCCTGACTGGCCTGGCGGCAGTTACTGCCCACCCACACATCCACTCCCGTAATGATGGCGGCAAGGATGCCGTTACCCTTGGCAAGCGTGGTGTAAACCTCGACCAATACCTGGACGTACCAAGCCTCGGATCATACACCAAGGCTGAGGCCGTCAGCAACGATTCTCCCTCTGTGTCCGGCTCGGATTATATCCAGGCTGCTACAGACCTTGTCAAGAAGACATTCCCAGACCTCACATTCCGTCTTGTGGATGACCACTACGTTGGCTCAAACGGAATTGGCCATGTCAACTTCATCCAGACCATCCACGGCATTGACGTTGACAACGGCAACTTCCACGTCAACGTTGGCGCTAATGGCAAGGTGTTCTCGCACGGAAACAGCTTCTTCACTGGTAGCCTCCCAGAAAAGCCTGCCAGTCGCAAGCGTGACTCCGGAGAGCCAGTCGATGCTCTGAGAACTGCTGTGAGCTCCCTGAACCTCCCCATCGAGGTCAGCCCTGACGCTGCTGTGTCAGCGAGCTTGACCGACACCGATGACATCTACACCATCACCGGCGTCTCAGGCACTACTACAAACCCCAAGGCTCGTCTTGTCTATCGCCAAGACGATGCGACCAAGGTCACCCTGACCTGGCGCGTCGAGACCGACGTGGTCGACAATTGGCTGCTGTCATATGTCGATGCTGAGACTAGTTCCGAGGTCCTCGGCGTCGTGGACTATGTCACAGACGTCTCCTACGAGGTCTACCCATGGCACACCAGTGACCCAAGCCAGGGTGAGCGTGTCATTGAGAAGGATCCTTGGCTGCTCGAGGCCTCCCAATTCGGCTGGCTTAGCGATGGAAAGACAAACTACACCACTACCCGCGGCAACAACGCCATCGCCCAAATCAACCATGACGGGGGCGACGACTACCTTGAAAACTACCGTCCGGACAGCCCGGAACTCGCCTTCGAGTACCCTTACTCCCTGGCAGAGGCTGATTACAAGAACTACGTGGATGCTTCCATCAGCCAACTGTTCTTCACTGCCAACAAATTCCACGATCTCCTGTACCTTTTGGGTTTCACAGAAGCAGCGGGTAACTTCCAGGCGAACAACAACGGGAAGGGAGGCAAGGAAGGAGACCATGTCATTCTAAACGCTCAAGATGGTTCTGGAATGAATAACGCCAACTTTGCTACCCCCCCTGATGGTCAGAACGGCCGCATGAGAATGTACATCTGGAACAACTCTTCCCCTTGGAGAGACTGCAGCTTTGATGCTTCCGTCGTTCTCCACGAGTACACTCACGGCCTCTCTACTAGACTCACTGGTGGACCCGCTGTCTCTGGATGTCTCTCAGGCACCGTTCCAGGTGGTCTGGGAGAGGGCTGGTCTGACTTCTTCGCCGTTGGCGTTGGTCTGAAGCCCAACCACACGCGATCTACCGTCTTCCCAATGGCGCCCTGGATCTCCAACAAGCCTCTTGGCATTCGCCCGTACCCATATGCTACCGACTTCAACGTGAACCCTCACACCTACAAGGACATCGTCGGGCTCACCAAGGTTCACTACGTCGGCACTGTTTGGTGCACGATGCTCTACGAGATCCTCTGGAACCTCATTGACAAGCACGGCAAGAACAACAACGACTTCCCCACCCTCGATGACAAGGGCAAGCCCGATGACGGAAGGTTCCTGGCCCTTAAGATTGTCCACGACGCCTTCGAGCTGCAGCCCTGCCGGCCCAACTTCGTTTCTGCCCGCGACGCCATCCTCGACAGTGACCTCGCCCTTACCGGCGGTGAAAACAAGTGCGAGATCTGGGCTGGCTTTGCCAAGCGTGGTCTGGGACCCAAGGCGACTGCAAGCCCCGTCGCCGAGGATTTCGAGACACATGCCGATTGCCAGTAGGATGGGCATTGGAATCTAGAGAAGAACTGCACGGCCGAAGTACATGGATCTACATCAATGTTTAATTGCAAATATTATGACTACATGTTGACGAATAATACAATGAGAAGTGTAACTATCTAACCATTTGCCTTTAAAATTTCCGAAGAAAATACTAGGTCTGGCGTCGTGATGTCAGAACTTCCCACACAGGGGTCCCGGTCGTAACGTAACAATTGAAGGCATCTTGAGGCATCGCCGTAGTAGGGACTGGGGCTGTTGGAATGGAAATCAGTGCTGATGTTTGATTCCCCCTCCGTCGCCCCCTTCCCATCGTGCTAAGGCATGAAAGGCCTCATCGCCTTGAAAAAAAAGCCGCCGTCCTGATCTGACCTTGCCTCTCCTTGGCGGGCATATTCGATACTAAAAGAAATAGCGAGGAGGCTCGTGCGATGGCAGGCGGCGAAATGACTGTCGAAAATGCTATTAGGAGGAAGTGTAGGTAGGTGATCGATGGGTATCAATGAAAACATGTGTGAGATCCAGTGCTGGTCTTTGAATTTCCTCCGTACTCCTTTTTAATGCCAGGCCACTAATTTTCATTGGCATCCAATGCTGATTAGGTATGTCGATGCGACTTTTCTTCTTATTTTTTTTAAAAATTTCTTTTTATGATTGCTCGAGAATATCTGTTGTTGCTCCTGCGGGTGATCCTAGAGGAAAGGCGAATGTCTGTATGCCGGCAGCGCGTCCTGCGTGTGGTTCTGGTCTCGGCTAGTCACCGCCTATCACGATGTCAGTAAACCCCAGAACGTTTATCTGGTTAAAAGAACCCAACATACATATTTCGGTAGCTTGGGGGCTGCCAAATCCCGGACAATAACTTGGAAGGGCAGCTCCAGGGTCGATCCAGAACCGGCGGCGGATTGCGCGGCCAGTCCCACGCGAAGGGCGTACGACCGGGAGATCAGGCAGGCGTCAAAACTGGGTAAAAATGTCGTCTTTTCATGGCTCGGCATGTTGACGGAGAGGGTGAGGGTAGATAGATACTTTGTGCCTTCCGAATCGGAGGGTGTCTCCGCCTTTTGCCATTCAGATTGCTGCAAATGGCCGACGGTGACCTTCTTCGACTTGGTGCAAAGCACTACATGGGGCAGCGGAGCTGCTTGGCGACCATTCTCGCCACTTGTGGGCGCAAGGTGAACTTGGGCGTAGCTGGTAATCGTCTGGACCGCGGCCGACTTTACCTGGATTTTAGGACAGCGGGTCGAGTTGGTCTTGGTGACGAACTCGAGATGGGCTGTGATCATCGGGTTGGAGATTTTACCGTTGTCAGACGAAAGATAAACCAGACTAGGCGGGATACCGGCGATTGTCAGCGAGTCTGACTTCTCGTAGGATCGGCCCAGTCGGATTTCTTGTGTAGGGTCTGTAGTGTAGAGTGCATCCTCCTGGAAAATCGAGGGGAGTAACTTGACATAGCGGTGAAGTTCGACTGGCTTCAGCTTTTCAAGATCCTTACGAGCGGGAGTCACTCGGAACCGAATGGAGTACTCGATTTTGGCGGTTTCAGGGGACTGATCCGTCTTCTCCCACGTCCCTATTGTCGGGGGAAGCTCGAGATGGGTTTCGTGGATGCAAGCAGACAAGGGGCGCTGCTGGGGCACAACGAAAAAGAATGGTATCTCGATAGTCTCCTGGGCAGAAAGCCGCTTGTCTTGGAGAAGAGACTCGGGGGAGATTGGCATGGCTAGTTGGAAGAATATCAACTTAGTAGGGAGCGTGTCGTTTAGTATACCACTTGTTCTGGTAATAGAGATGCCAAGTAGGTCGATCTGGATCTTGTCGAATTCCACATCGCGAAGGGGAGTGATGACCACTTTGCCCCGGATTGCTGAGCCTGTTGCGTAAACTTTTGCTTCGAAATGGTTTTCGATTTGGATCTCGACCTGTAGAGGAAGTCTGAACTTGAGACCAAGCAGGGGGGACCACTTGGCCCAATGCTCGCCAAGTGCGGTCGAAGCCATGGCCTAGAGTCTAGACTGACACTTAGTGTAGCTTGTTAATGCACAAGGACGGAACATCGATCAGCTTCTTCGCGTCTTCAGTGTATAGGTGGTTTCAGAGCAGGCTTGTAGAGGTAGAGCGCGTCATCCGCTCACGTGATCGGAACTCCAACGGCCTGCTCACCCCAACTCAGATCTGAGATCACCTTGATGGGTCGGCTCCTGATCCGGTATCGGCGAAGGCTCCACTTTGAGCACCCATACGCGTATTGGAATCTAGGCACCTACACAACATCCACGTGGAATCTTGAATATTGTTCGGACGTGCATACTCCCGCAGTGATTCCGCGCAGCTTTAAGTTATTTAACTTTTGAATGCTAGGCAGGCAACTTTCTTAGAAATTACTAGAGATGTGTGCACACTCAAGCTTTCATCTTAACCGCGGGACACGTCTCATGGAGGACAATGGCTGGTAACAAAGGACCATTGTATTATACATATTTCTCAGCACTCTGAAGACCGAGGTTACATTTGCCATAAAGGTCGAGTGTTCTCGCAGAGGCAGAGTGCCAAGTTGCAGTATGTGCTCTTTACTTCTTCCAGTTTGTGGGAAGAAAAAAGATAGTTGGGATCCAATCGGGCTTTATCTCGAGATCATTGTGACTGCGCCGCGTAGATGTAAAAGCCATAACTACCCGGGGCTCCCACCAGCTCTGCCTGCCTAGCGACATCTGCCCATCTCAACTGATCTCGAGCATCGGTAGGGGGTAAATCATAAGGGGTGTCTGGCTCTTGATCATGTCTCTGACGGTCATGCGAGTTTTGCTTCGAAGTTTCCTTATACCTCTGACGTCTCCCTTGCTGCCGGCGCCTCGAAACTTCGTCCTTGTTCACAACCTCCTCTTCAAGTCGAGGAAATTGACAAATTCTCGGAACATGTTGGGGATCTGAGAAACCCTTAGACTCAGAGGGCCACGGGTCGATTGTATTAACCGGCTTGTAGATGCTGAAAATCCTTCCTCCTTGTGTCACTTGGTGAATGGCATGCTTTGTTATTCTAGACATGATTCTCTTCCGTGCCTGATGGAAAGGCTTTGTTAACCCTGCAGTACAAACGGTTTAGCTTCTAGTTTTCAGATAGTTCTGTTTTCGGGGACTAGGATAAGAACACGTACATCTGAATTGCTCAGATTAATCCTTAAAATGTGTCTCTCGCATATGCCGTTCGAAGTCGCCCGGTCGTTGGAATTGTCTGGCACATCCGTCGACCTGGCTCCGATGGGTGGGTGTTGAATGTTTTTCAGCCACGTGCTGCCTGTGAAATATGTTTTTTTTGGTACGATATCAAGTCTAACTTGTTGTGCAAAGACAAATCGTACTCGAACGGTTGTGAGAGATGCTTAAGCGAGTGTAGGGTCGCCGAGACGGTGGTCGCAGATAACGTGGTAGGAGAGCTAGAACTAAAGCAGCCCACACCAGAAGTAACAGAAGAGGCCATCCCATGTCTGCGCAACTACGAGCGTAGAAGTAAATGCCATGCATCAATGTGGTAGGAACTAAGGCAGACAGCACGATTGGGCGTTGATGTTCAGCCTGAACCAATCATTGACTCTTATGCTTGGCCCGCTTGCTCTGACGGAAGACAACCGGACCTCGGGAGCTAAATTGGCCGGGAGGCTAGTGTGGCGCGGGCCGTGGTCGCGTATCTGTGGCGTTAGAGTTGAGCGCTTAGTCATAGCTCAGCATCTTAGACTGAGGTGGTTGTGACAAAAATCAATTCGACGGCCCGAATAACACGTCCCGATTCCACTTGGTCCCTACCCTAAACCCTCGAAGATAATTGAACTCGAAAGCGCATCGACTATTGAACATCAACACTCTATGATGCCATTTTTTCGGTGCTATTTTTTGCCTAGTGCCTGGTTGTGACCTCCGAATTCGCAAGACCATCGACATCCTAGATGCTCTAAGCACATGCAGCAACAATCGAGCCACTGTCGTTTACGGAAACCTCCGCCAATGTCTCAGTAAGAGTACTCTTCCAAACTCGCAACCCAACCACGAAACACAATGAGTCTAGCTCAATTCGATCGAATATGCGTCTAAACTTTGATATTCTGGATCTGAGAAAATGCGATGCTAATTATTACGCTGCCCTTTTCCACGTCTCAGGTCGTTTCTCGAGAGGTTCAATCCCAGAGTTCGCAGTGGACACGAGCGATGACTTTACTGGACGAGAGCGACAGCCAATTCGAGAACCGAACATTCTACTTCGATCTTTGCCACTATTGAAAGTGGTCTTCCACCAATAGATTTTCGGTTGGGAAGTGCAGGATTGACTTGGCTCCGGCTGTTGACCCACGAGGAGAGTCAACGTTGTGCTATGCGCGTATTTGGCCAGGTGGATCTCCCGAGCTAAGCATATGCCAGCCACACCTACGCTTAACTCAGAACCCTTGTCCAAGTTATCAGCAGACTGCCGGCTGGGTCTTTTATTCCATGGCTCTTTTCAGAACGTGCGTACGAAATTCGACAACAGTATGTCTCTTGGACACCCAATTGATCACAAGCATGCATATGCTTCGAGTGAGCGGCTTGCTAAACTAGTACTTAGCTCACCAGCCAGCAGGTTACTGGACTCGACATGGTAAGTGTCCGAAGTCCCTCCAGGTGTTCAAGTTCTCACTAGGCCCTGAAGGTTGAAGCAGGCAAATTATGGACACCTTGTAGTAATTGGTACTTTGGTGTGAGTGACAACCTCAAGTCCCACCCTGCTGAACACTCTGCCCTACGAATGTCCCGGATTGAATTCACATCTGGTACGTTGCACATCGTAATAATGAACTTTTGGCTCGCTGTTTAACTGCTGGTGTATTGTAGGTAGCGTCCTCTTCCAGGCCGGCTTGATAAAAAGCCCTATTCGAAGATCTAGCCTTGGTCACGCCTGATTGACGCTATTATTAAACTACAAGTCAGATCCTTCCGACTGCCTAATTGTTCGATTGCCGGTATTGGAGGAAGCCAGACCGCATGACAACATGGTATGACCCCACCAGGGCCACGAGCCAAAATAGGGAAGAAGGCTATTACGGTCGCTTGGAACATGAGCTTGTGGGTGGGCCGTCTGTTTTTAGCAACACCGGGAGATTGCCACTTCAATAAACGGTAGTCGCCGAGCGGATCATAGACCACTTGGCTAATCTATTTGCGACAAAGACGCCTCAAGGGCGGAATTACCTGCATTGGCTCAGCCCAAGTGGGTATGAGCTGGCCTGCCGATGCCTTTCTGTAGTCGTATAAAGAGTTGCGAGCAATCGACGTTTTGAGGATGGATCACCAACGACCTCATCGCCCGTTTCTCGAATCAACTGAGCTAGTCAGCCCTGATTGAAAGATGATTTCCCCCATGAACCTGATCGGGCGGCACTTCGCCGCCCTTCTGCTGGCCACCTCCTCCATCTTCGACCTGACCGAGGCCGCCACCAAGATCAAGGGCGGTGCCGATCCGGCCATCATGAAGAACGGCGACTACTACTACTCGGCCAACACCTGCGGCAGCAACAACATTTGCGTCCGCAAGGCCAAGACCCTCGCTGGCCTTGGCGACGGCGCCGTGAGCAAGACTGTCTGGAGCGACACGGCCGGCAAGGGCGAGGTGTGGGCCCCCGAGATCGCCATCGAGGGCAGCAAGACCTACATCTACTTCGCGGCCGGCAAGTCGAGCAACCACCGCATGTACGTGATCAGCGCCGACTCTCCCCAGGGAACATACTCCGCCGAGAAGAAGATCAACCTGCCCGATGATCAGCCCGCCATCGACGGCATCTACTTCCAGTTCGAAGGCAAGCGATGGTTCGTCTGGTCCGGCTGGACTCCCGGCAACTCCGAGCAAACCATCTACATCTGCGCCATGAAGAGCCCTACTGAGGCCACCGGCAAGAAGTATGTCATCTCGCAGCCCCGCGAAGCCTGGGAGAAGAAGGCCGGCCTCATCAACGAGGGACCCGAAGTCATCGTCGACCCCAACGGCCAGCTGCACATCGTCTACTCTGCCAACGGAAGCTGGGCTAGCAAGTACTGCCTCGCCGATCTCCGCCTCAAGAAGGGCGGAAACCCAACCTACGTCTGGGACTGGTACAAGTCCAACGGCTGCCTCTTCGGCTCCCACCAAGACAACATGATGAAGGGCTGGGACGCCACTGTCCAGATTGATGGTCCTGGCCACCACACCTTTGCCCTCGGTAACGGCGACACCGCCAAGAGCCCTGGCGGAAGCAGCAGGATCCCCTTCGTCTTCCACGGCGTGCCCAAGGGAACTGAGTACAAATGGGGCAACCGAAACTGGTACACCGGTTCCTTCGTTTGGTGGAGCAAGACCACCTACAGCCGTGCCAACGTTCCTGGAGACAACAAGAACACTGGCTATAGCTTCAAGTTTTTCGAATAATTGTATACTCTTTTTTTCTTTCATTTGTTTGGGCCACTTTGTATAGACAGGGCTCGCCTGAGAGGCACATGATACCCTCAACTCAAGCGCGGGTGTACTTATAACTATGACAATCATTTAGCGGACACGTTGAATGGTTTAAGATTCTATGTATATATTTAAATGAAGCATACTTACCATGCAATTGGAGTTACAAACAAAGCAACAAACAAAAGTGGCTAGTCAATCCCAGAATCCTCCCTCGTAGCAGCTCGAAACTCGCACGTCCCAACGATCTCTTGAAAGTTTCATCCGTCTGCGCAAAGGCGATTGACTCCCGAGGTTGGTAACATTGCCAAGTCTTGTTGTGAGAAGTGTCATACAAACAAATTGAGACGTTGCACTAGGCTGCTTCGAGGTAGCCCTCACTTCTCAGGAATCGTTGTCTGCCGAGGTAGTTTTCCAGTGTGGTCTGCATGGACGAGAGAGAGAGGTACTCTATATCCTCTGAGGTGCTTGGAAAGGTGACATACTCTAAATCCACGGCCATGATGCTTCTCTCGTCTGGATCCAGTATGAAGTTGGAGATATCTGCATCTTCTTGAACTGCTCCATGGTCTGCCATCTCCTTGAAGAAATCGCCGAGGAGTCTTTTGCTCTCGCTAAAAGACAAAGTGGCCGCCTCCGGTTTCTCTAGAGTGTCCCCACGAAAATGCTGTAAAATCAAAGCTTTTCTGCCACCAAAAAGCGTCAATCCATAGCACCTGGGGACCGTCAAACCCTGGATAGGCCTTAGCCGGTTATATGCTTGGTGCTCCGCTTCAAAGAGTTGTTCAAACTCCTTGTCATCCCCATAGCCAACGTCTGTACCCTTCTTTTGGCATTTTTAAGATGAGTCGATTAGGCAGGAACCACTCAGGCAAGTAAAGATGGACCCATGAGCTGATCAATGGGGGGAAAGACTGAAGCAGACGTAGCAGAAACCTGGTGAAGGCCGATGGAGGCTGCAAATGGAGAAAGTAAACGTTGGGCGTTCTATGACTAAGAGGATGTCCGAATGCGTATACGAGACGAGTTCGAAACCAGAAATTCTAAATGAGAAACGATTAGTAGGCGGTGATAGAGGAGTGCGAATTGAACCCATACCAGTGGCCGAAATGGGCAGACGCCCGTGGGCTTGCCAACGGTCTTGTCTGTAACACGGTATCGTTCCGGCTCTCCGGGTATGGGTGTGGGTTGTATGTGCGCAAGGAATTGCATGCTCTCTTCGTGAGATAAAGATGACATGGTAAAAGTAACAAACCGATGGACTGATTGTTGGTTGGGATGGTGTTGAAGTTGTTTGTGCATCAGGGACCAGACGGAATCGTACTTACCTTGGTTAAAGAGCGAGGCCTTACTGATTAAGAACGTGTCACGGGACAGGCTGTAACTGGCAGGCGACAGGTCTGCCTGCCTCAGGTACTGTTTACTTCCTTCTATCCACCTAGCCAATGCTGGGCAGGTAGGTGCCTACCCATAACGTAGCTTATCGGTTAGAGCAAGATAAAGCCTCGGCCACTGATTGATTGAAGAGTGGCGTCGCAGCAGCATCTGAATTCTGCCTTGCATCCTGAAAATATCAATGGATTTCTCTATATGCAGTTTTACCTTTTTGCAGAACTACCGCATCTCGTTCGATTACCTTTTCTGCAACAATGTAATCCGTAGCCACGGCGGACTGTTGCCCAGCTCTTCAGAGAGCGAACTGCACATAGATTTGACATAACCTCCTCAATTCCGAAGAGTCCCACCAACAGCCCGGGTAACTACCATTGACCGCGACAGGGACAGAGTATTGGATTAGGAGGAATCTGCACATTCGACTTCGAAGGCTTGCGTGCTCAGGTTTGTCAACGCCTGGTACCAGTCACTCCCAAGCGGCCACGGCGGACTCGGAACCAGGTGTCCTGTTCCAGGGGGTAGGTGATATTCATGACACTCCTCTACCCAATGGCACACCACAGAGGCTGCTAACATATAACTACCTTCATACAGAGATGGAAAGAAATACCGAGAGCGAGGAAGAGATAAAGTTGAGACATCATGTTGTCATGAGCATGGCTCACTTCATACATGATGCTGCCGTTTAGGTTGTCGAGGGCAAACGCGAATTTTCCTATTTCAATTGGGGCAGTCGAGACAAGAAAGTAAGATACAACGGGTGATTGCCCCTCCCAGAGACACATGGCGAGTAGTAAGAGTTGAGAGGACGATGCAGAGATCAAACAAGTCGCTGATGAATTCATCATGCTGCCTCTACCAGAGGATATTGCCAATGGTGACTGTCTGAACGAACCTCAGCCTGTATTTTGGGGAACGAAAAATTTAAGGCTCAGGAAATAATTGTACTTCTTTAATAAGAGACATTATTCTACTCATCTAGGCATTACGGGAAACCTCCGAGTGGTGGAGTTGTGCCTGAATGTGTCTTATGAACATCACGCACCGGCGTCGGGTAAAGAAACCTATCGCCTGAGCCTCTGGGCTGGTTGGTCTTACGGGGCTCAGCGATCGTTCGGGACATTGTCACGATGCCAAACGAGAAGAACGAGCTTGTGCTGCCGGCTGGATTTGTGCTTCGGAGCAGAGTCCACCCGGAGCGCTTTCGTTTTTCGCAAGGTTAGGCTCGAGAATAGGCAGAGTAGTCTATGACTTAATGAGAGTCCGCTCATATGGCGATTAATTGTCAACCTTTTTATCTTCCGGTCTATTGCTGGTGGAAAGAGTTTAGACGATAACGTAAAATAGGAGCAAGACTTTGTAAGAATTTCAAATGACTTCATTCTCCTAATCACGGCTGATGAGCCGTGATGTTCATTACATCAGCTATCTGATTAAAAGCTAACAATATGGAATTCAGCCCATTCACAAAAATATGACCTACATCCTCGACTTCGGATGCTGAGCGACGGGTCACCAGTTACATGTATATCGGACCTACATCCTCAATTTCAGACGCCGAGCGGTGGGAACGAGATACCACCCATATTCCCGCACACTTATCCGTGATATAGTTACCTGGTCCAACATCTGGAAACGTATGATACTGGACTTGATCTTGCCTACATCCTAACGACTCTGCGCTCGGAAGTTGCACAATAGGCAGAAGCGCAAAGATTGCAACAGACACGATAGGTATATTGCGAGGTACAGCCCTGGCCGTCCGGCCTAGAGTTGTTTGAATCTGAATGCAAATGGGTGTCAGCGTTATCTCAAACGAGTTATGTTAGGACTGTGAAGAATAATTGACATACCCCGAGACCTTTCCCATGACCTAACATGCTGAAAACCATGAGGAGGGAGAATTTCTCGCCTCTGGAGCGATCTAACTGGAGTGAACACAGGTGAGCGTTGGATATGCCTTGGCGAGTTGATCGCCTGTTATAGTAATGAAAAGAGAGTCCAGTCCATGCTCCATGTCGATTTGAAGATATATCGATTCTCTTTACTGCCGAGAGACTTCTGTTTTCGTCCGCATTCTGGAAGAAGAAGGTTTCACGAATAAACTCATGTCTCATGGCTGCCTCAACGTGGTGAGCTACAGTAGGATCGAATGTCGGGTTGGGGGGATAGAGATAAAGTCGCGTAATGCCTTCAGCCAGATCCAATGGGCGCTCGATGCGAGTTGAATGTGCCATGACAAGCATTTTAATTGACAGCAACGAACTGGCCTTCATCCGAACTTGGATATCATCCATGGACTCGCAAAACACCCACGTAATCGAGTCCTGCAGAGATACGTCATGTTAGTTTTAGTGGATATCTCGTGTAGAAGAGTGTAAAGAAAAGAATTGACTAACTAAATCTTCAAAAATTGTTGAATTGTATCGCAGATACGTTTGCGGAACTCCTGTGTGCTGCGGCAGGCGCAATTCGAACTTATTCTGAGTCGTTGTAAACGCAATGCCAACAACTTTTCCGAAGCGCTCTATGGAACGTGACAATTACACGTCCATTGTATTCCAGACGGCCACTTCAAGAATTCTCTCGCCTGGGTTGAGCTGAAAGCATGTTCTCTCCTCCATCCACTGGCCGACAACCACGTCGCTTCTATCGCCCTCGTACTCAATCCACAGGCCGCTTATATGATTCTTGGAACGGGAGCTTCCAGTGTCGGTGCCCATAGAGATGCGGATACGGCGAATCCATTTTAGAGACGCTGTGGTACAGCAACAGCCTTCTCTCTGTTGCATCCATGAACAAGCATGAACCATGGCCGGTGTAGCAGGTAGGCTACTTCCCGGTCTGATGACAACATTCGCTGATGTGTAGGGCTGTTCAAAATGCTCCGTTGAGATTCGCATAAAGCGCCATTCGGGAGACTGATTTGCATCGGAGTTAGTTATGGCCAGCTTAATACAGGTTTAAATTGGCCTCTTGAAGGGTAAAAGTCTTACCTGGACCTCGACCATTAAGGACTGAATGGGACCTCGGCCTTGCATAACCTCCCCATATCTGATTGAGGGGCCGTTAAACGCGCCAAAAGTATAATTTCTTCCAAAGTTGGTCCAAACCTGGGAGGCTTGGAGTTAGGAGTTTGTTCATTTTGGAATTGTGAAAAAATAGAAGGATTCCAAACATACCTGAATGTTGCCTACGACAGGTGTGTTTCCCAGCAAAGAACCCTGAGAGAGCAGCATAATTCTCTCCGAATTCGGCCCATCTATGACAAAAGTCTGGGCGACACAACTTATAGAATTTCCCTTTGGCCCTTTGGTTTCTTTAGTGCCGTATAGCACTGAGTCTCCTTCCACATATGCGAGTTCAAGGCCATATATGCCCATTCGCCCATGGAAGTAAGCCGTGACAGAACGCAGAGAGGACAGCCTCGAACCATCTGATCCACCCAAGGGAATGTGGAGATTAATGGTGAATGATGGTGGCAACGAAGGTTGGCCGGACTTCTCTGGTCCCAGCTTGGATGGGGTTTGGGGGCTCCAAAGTACAGGGCTTTTGGAGTTGGACCGTGGGATATAGGCTTCTTCGATGAGCTGGATCGAGACGGCTTTGTAAATCTAGTGCTCTAAGGTCAGTACTAGAAAGATCACATCAAGGGGTTGAAATGGGTACATACATCAAATCCAACAACGAACCCGATGATCGCGGATTGCGGGACCAAGTTTGTCGTGGCGACTAAACCAGCAGAATATCTCGCGTTTCCGGCGCTGTGTACGCAGGTTTGGCCATCATGTCTGGTGATGACGAACTTCAAACAATGGATACCAGAGGCGGAAAGAAAGACATCGATACTCGAGATTGCATCTCCGGGTTCGATAGTAATTGAAGTCAGATTTGATGAGCCGATCGAACCACACTGGCCAGTAACGCTCGATTGACCATCTGCGGATTGGACAGAGACCCGAATACCCGAAATGTATTTACCACGTACAAGGGAGATGGAAGAGATCTCTATCAAAGTTGAATCAGAATGACTTTCATTCTCCAAGAAGACGACAAACTCATTTCGAAGCCGAGTACCAAGCGCGATGTGCTGGCCAAAGGGTTCCAGCGGGTTGAAATGGTCAGGGAGCTCAGGGCATGATACTCGTTTCCCCAGATGGCAGAAAGGCGAAATCTGATTCAAAATCTCCCAAGGGGAGAGATCGACATCCAATAAGGCGCTGAGAATGGTGGAAAAGTCCTCGAGGCAGTGCCAAATTCGGCGGCGATTCTGGAAGGCTTTGACAGTGGATTCATCCTCGATGCTTGATTTACATTGGTGGTATGCTTCCATCCAGTTTCGATGGCGTATACCTGAAGAGTTTGCAGGGAGAGAAAGGAACCCCATCTCTCGATCAGGAAGAAAACGAGAGGCCCAGAATTTTTGAGGGAGATTGCTCGGGGCAGCGAGAGCAGCCAGACGTGGGCAGGAAAGTCTGAGAGAGCACACATCTTTGGATGGAAGCAAAGTAAAGATCTGGGCGATTAACTCGTCTGGAAAGTTTTCAAAAATACCACAATTCGATGATGTATTGGCTTGCTGGAGCATATTGGGCGAGACGAAGCCTTCACCAAGCTCTATCGAGCTTCTGCCGACTTCTAGTACTGGCATCGGCTGATCTGGGTCAGCCGTCAAATCCGCTGTACCTTCGACGGTTTGCAGTAGGTTGAGGGCACCGAAGTATCCGTGATCCGGCACTAAAGCCCCATTCCTCGCCCATGGGAGGGAATGTAACACGTGGAAAAGCAGGCAACCAACCCGTCTGGGATCTGGTTCAGAGCCGCGTTCTGTCTTGATTCGGCGTAGAAGAAATTGCCAACAGAACTCGTGAATGCTGAAATTTCTCACATTGTCGATGCGAAACAGTAAGTCTTGCAGCTGAACTTCACCTTCGCCTGAAGCATCAGCATAACCAACGTCATAGTCCAGGCGAGCTGCGACACGATGTTGAGTAAAGTAGCCGAGGCCCGTTATCTGTGGCACAGTATCTTCGTTACTCCCATCTGGCCCGTGAACTATTTATTATCAATATCAAAGGCTTGAAAAAAGCAGGTAAACGCGGGAGAGAAATGCCATCCATACCTGATCGGGCGAGTGTAGTCCAGTGCAGGGGACCTGGGGGCGGATGCACGCCATGATGGTTCCTGAATTTCCCTCCGCAAAGGGCACAATGCGGAAGCTGATCCACGGTTCTCGTCGCCATCGTCTCCAGCACAGAACAAACGCGTTCTTGTGTAGAAAGCAAATCCGAAGAGTTTGGTGCGGGCTGGAGGTTGGAGCTGAGCTGAGAGGAGGGAAACGGCTGAGGTGAAGAGGCCAAAGCGCCCTAGCCCAGTCTGGAAGGGCGAAGCGACACGAGGAAGGCGTGTCCCAGACAGACCGCCGTGATTTAGCGAGCTGTTCCCAGTGGTACTAGTGGTTACCTGGGTGCATATAGAGGCAGTTTTACAGCACTGTAGGCCATTTGACGCCCCTGTAGCGGTTCATCTACATGATAGCCCGCTGTGATTTAGTGCTAGAATCGCCGTGGCTCCCTCGAGGCCAGCACTGAGTGAGCCTGAGGTGTGTGATGAGACCACTGATAATAGTTGTGCGGTGCCTGTTGGATGGAGTATTGTGCCTCGATAAGTTGCAGAAGAGAAACCGCACGTCTTGAACAACACGGGACCAGCCGAGCTGCACAACATGGAGGGCTTCAATCCAGAACTCGAGACGAAGAGCAAAAGCCAGGCACCCGATGGCGATGAATCAACCTCCCTTGTTCTATTCCCGTCTAGTTGGAATATACTTGTCTATTTTGACATCTTCTCCATCTATCAAATACGTACAATTTCGACTCGCCCCCACCACCTCCTCGAGCAGCCAACCATTTCTCCCTAGGCCTGGCCGTTCTGGACGAGAACGTTGGCGGTGCCAGAAGGAACACCGCTGATAACGCCCTTCAGACCTTGGTCTACGATATAGCTGCAGGCACCGGCAGCCCCGGTAGCCCCGATACTCAAGTAGTAGGCGGCCAAACCAGCAACGTGGGGAGTAGCCATCGATGTGCCGTTAGCATCCAGGGTCGAGCCGCCGGGCTGAAGGCTCCTAATACCGACACCGGGCGCATAGACGTCGAGCAGGGCACCAAAGTTGGAGAAGGAGGCAACGCGGTCCTGGCTATCGCTTGCGCCCACTGTGCAAGCGGAGGGCTCGGAGGCGGGCGAGACGAGGGCGACATCTTCGGGGAGGCGGGTGATTCGGTTGCCGTTACCAGCAGCGACAGCCAGGAAGATTCCGGCACTGACGACGTTGGCTGCGGCATCATTGACGGCCTGCGACTTGGGACCGCCCAGAGACATCGAAGCGACGACACCCTTGGGGCAGTCTTGGGTAGCCGCATGGTCGGCGATCATGTCAAGGCCGGCAATGACTTGGGCACTGTGAGAAGTTAGCATCTATGATGCAACAACAGGGAGATGTCGGAATTAGGAGGCACGTACTATTCACCGTTGCCCTCGAAATCGAGGACCTTGATAGCGAAAAGCTTGGCCTTCTTTGCAACACCGTACGTGCTGGAACCGACTGTACCGGCGCAGTGAGTGCCGTGGCCTTGATCATCCTTGCCTGTGCCAATAAAGTCACCAGCCCAGGATGCGCGTCCACCGAATTCCTGTTTTGATGTTAGCCAGCACGATACATAACGGAGAGTTGGGTTACGTACGCTCAGCTCGGTGTCAATACCAGTGTCGAGAACATAGACGCATGTGCCCTCTCCAGCGGCGTCATCATAGGTGTATGTGCTGGAGCCAGGCTCCTTATTGGAGAGGCGAGCCAGTCCCCAGGGAGCACCGGTCTGGGTAGCGAACATGGTGGCCTTTTGATCTTGCTCGATGTATTCAATCTTGGAACAGCGGTGAGTTGATTTCCCATATCCTAATTCAGGCGAAGTCACTTACATCGGGGTTGTTGCGCAGAGCCTCGACCTCCTCGGATGTCAGGCTGGCAGAAAACCCTCCCAAGTTCTTGTACACATGGTCGGCGTTAGACGCAATGCTACCGATGGCGGAGTTGATGGATGCAGAGGCTCCGTTCTTGACCTTGACAATGTACTTGCCCTCAATGGCCTCCTCCCGGGTGTAGAGAGGAGCACGAGTGGCAGGCGCTGCAAGTGCCCATGGCAGCAGAGAAAGAAGAGCGGCAGAACGCATGATGAACCGGGTATTGAATTATCGGGAAGATATATAAGTGTCCCAAGAGTAACGGACGACTTCTCGAGGGAAGAGTTGGTCTATTTATGCTCTTGATCAAGCGCCACATATATTTTATTTCAAAGCCATTCACGTCTCACTTGCTCCCGTGGGGAAGCCATTCCACCTTTTTAGGTATGTGACATTGAAAATGGGTTGCTATTTTAGGCTGGTTTTTCTCTTAACTCAATCCTCTCGCGCTTGGCCTTGTGCTTATTGATCAGGACTTGCAGCCAAGGGGAATTGCAAGGCGGCTTTCTGAAGGATCTCACGTGCCTCTCAACGACCAGCTTGGTAAACCCTGGCAGACTGGAGTCATGCCAAGTCTTGCTCCCCACCATAACCTAAAAGAAACCCAACTCTGACCTGCCAGAACAGGGAGTTGATAGGCACAGGCAACTGCTTCGCCACGAGTTAAACATGAGGCATGGTGCGATCCCGGAGATTAAGTGTGTTGATCACCAGCGGTATGTACGGGTACGCGCCAATAACATGCCTGCTCTGGTGGGTTGGGGATTGCTGCGACTCCTGCTTAACTCTATCATTACTCCATCACATCTGCCTCTTCCGGCAATCTATCTCACCCGCCGCCCAAGCCTTTGTTGTCAAAAGCCCGCCGATACCCGGTCACTGGAGATAGGCGGGGATACGAGGGGCGTGCCAAGATGATTCGAAGAGGCAGTTCGGTCGGCTACACCTTAACCTTCGGGCCAGAGGATCGTTTCTATTATAAATACAATTGATAAACACGAGTGCAGATAACCAGGACCAGGTTTCGATAGTTTTGGCAAGTAATTGTAAGCGATATGGCCATCAGTATCTCTAGTCGAGCTCTGTTATCATGAAGACTCCCGTGGAACTAGACAGTGAATGTATATCTCGGTATCTAAAACGCCGCCGGTCAGTTAATTGAAGCGCCTTAGGTGCTTGAAAAATGCTCAACTATATAATGTCGAGAGTTTCTTGAAATGCTACCTCCGTTGTTTGTGGTCAGGGTGCTGCTAATCTTGGAGTAGGTAGATACAATCATATTTTGATGATAGGATAGGAACAAGGAGTCGAAGGTCGTGCTAGTCTTATAGGTGGAATTGGCACATCAACTAGCAAAAGCGGTAGTGATTACGAATATCCTCTTCACCGACTTGCCATCTCGAGTTGTCTGATTCCAGAATTGCGATAACTACCAAGCCTAGCAAGACACAGGTTGATGCTGTACTAACGAATGTTGATAACAAAGTGCCTAGTGCGAGACAACAATCGACTATACTTCTGGTCTCTATTGCATTGCTAATACTCTAGCTAGGTGTAGATTCAATATGATTGCATAACTACCGCGACCTACAATAAGCTTTTCGACTCTCCTCGAAAGCTTGCCCTAGATTCCGGTTTAACATTTCCATGCCAGGGATAATCGTATACAGATTGAATAGCACTCTGAAGAACTAGAAGAGGGACTTGAGCGAGGACCTATGCAAAAGAGCCCAACGACTCCGAGGGATCCTGAATTGAAGGGGGCATTTTACTGCGCGTGCTATTTTCGTTCGCACAAAAGCGTACGACTAGGTGGATGTGTGTTGGAAAGACTAGATATAGGTAGCTTGCGCATCCTTTTCTACGTACTCGGTTCAGGCAGAATCCTGTGAAGAATTTGCGTAAGACTCGGATACTTCTCATGAACGGAACGCCTCTATTAATGCTAAGTACTTTCGTATTATCGGTGTGAATCGAAACTCTGCCGTCTACATTTCCATCCCCAGATATTAGATGAATTTAAAGCAATCTATCCCCTTGATCCGCCAGACCCCTCCCTCTACTCCTTCAAGATTGTTTGAGTCAACTGGTTCTCCTTAAGCGCTCAAACACTCGACATTCTACAACAGGAGCTCAGCCGCAGAAAACGCTGCCGATCTTGACAGTGTTGGTGGAAAGGTAAGAAGGACGGTCCTTTGAAAAAGATGCGCCGGCATTCCCAGTGCCATCGGCGTTCTTGAAAGGGGTGCAGCTGACGGTAGTGATGTCGGTTCCGATAGCCCCGTCAAGGATGAGGGTAGAGACGGCCTCAAGAGCTGGGTGGCCGGTGAACATCTTGCCAAGAGGCACGAGGATTCTGGTGTCGGTGTGGTCGCCAGTGACGCCTCCGAGGTTCTTTCTAACGATGATGTCGGCGTATCCGGATGATCCCTCAGTCTGAGCTGGGGCGGCCATAGCCAGAGACGACAAGGCAGTGACAACAAGAGTGGCAGAGACACGCATTTTGGCGATTGTCAATTTTTGGACGAAAAAGACTTGAGGTGGTGTTGTTGAGATGGGTTGAATGAAGGAACTGTTCTTCTTTTTTGGCCGATGTGCTTGATCAGATTGAGTAGTCAGTTGGGGGAATGAGCGAGTATTTATCTGTTATCGTCATTACGATGAAGTTGCCAAATTGAACAGTTCATCATCTTTTATGATGAGCCACAGCGCAGATCCTCGTGTTAAAGAATCCAGAATGGAAGCCTGCCCGAGAGAAGAGCCAAAGAGTCGAGGAATCTCATAGTGATGATGCTTTGCCATTGAGACCCTCGCGAACAAGGTCAGCACTAAACCCCCATTAAACACTTGCGTAGCCTTCTGGCTGGTGAACGTAGTACGAAATACGGCGCCTGACCGGCCATCCTTACTTTCCAGGGCAATGATCGACCTCGTATTCAGTTGAGATATTCTTGTCCTTGCGCAGCCACAGCCGCTTTAACAGGTGTACGATGGAGGGGAAGCATGGGACTTTAAAGCCGGCCTTCTTGGATATTCCTTTATTTCACTAGGTATTAAAAACCAACAGCCGATCGGTGTCCAGCGCCGTCTGGGAGGAGTAATCCGACCAGCATTTTGATTCTCTTGTGGGTCGGGTCCGAGATCGGAAGATCATGTCGGCTCCGGGTAATCATTCGGAGCTCATCACAAGAACCTAAACGAGACGTGCCACCACTTTTCAGAGCCATTCATACTGTGCATAAGCTTACAAAAATTCTATTTCGAGCAGCTGAAATGAACACTCCCGTAATTAACAGGCGGATCATATGCGTATCGCCAGCCATCGCCCGCGCGGGTGGGCGGGCGGGCGGGCGGACTTTGTGTGACATGTGAATCAACTTTTTTCCGGCAGCCCAATCAGAGGAAATTCAAGCTTAATCACTGCGGAGAAAATACGTTCTGGAAGCTCTGTGCCAGCCTCCGTCCTTGTCGTTTTTGGGCGGGCTGAATTGAATGCCGCGTCAGCATGGCCTGTGGTCCTGTGCATAAATGCAGGTGGCAGAACGATGACGGAGAATAATTTTACGGCCCATCCGTTCCTCTGGGGCGTTCCAAGTGCGGGATGCCGAGGGGATTGAAAGACAGCGACAATCCGATCGATCTGTGCAAGGCTTTACCGTTGAGGGTATTTTGTGCGAAGGAGCGGGATGCGGTGTGATAAGCGGCAGGTCTTGGCTAACGGCCAGACTATTGCCAGTTGTCCCAGCCACCGGATGCGGCCCTCAGCGCCATGTCTTAGCAGTCGGTGGCCTGGGCGGTTACATTTGGTGCCCTATCCGAAGCTCTACTGAGGCTGCCACACCGCTGATGTGATCAATTGATCAATAACTACCAAGACTTGCATGAGGCGGGTTGGCGGACGGCTCAATCAGTTCTCTCTTTCCCCCCAAAGTGCGGGATCAGGCAATTTTTCCATTACGTCAGTAGCAATTTGGAATTAAATGTTCCAAACTGGCCCGTGGCGCTCGCAAGGGCTGGGTTTTCCCACAAAACGGGCATTGTGATTCGGGCCTCGTAAAACATTGGCGCGGGTGGCTTCCAAGGGCATCCCGCCTTACGGTCCCGCTCACGTAACTCGAGTCCAGCGCACCGTCTGGCGGCTTCCATTCTCTCTTTCCACAGAGCCTCATAGCGCGTGCCGTTTCTGGAAAACCCACTAGCCATGGCGGCAAATGGTCCAGGCGTGAAACGGTGCTTCCTTCTCGATTTATCGGCATCATGCACCCCAAATCGTCGCAACTGGCCGATTTGGTCTCGATTCAAGCTGGGGAAGGTGCACTGGCCCCATTTTTAGATCGCCGCCTGCCTGTCAGTGAAGTAGGCTCTGGGCTCTGGGCAGGTCCAACGCTCAAGCCCCTCAGGCGAGTCTGAGCATGAGCTGAACGTCAAAGCGACCTGTCGTGAGGGGCTACTATTAGAATCTATGGAATGCGATAGGCCCTCTTGCCAGACTATTGTGTCTCAGCTTGTCATCGCCACACCACACCGAGTCCAAGCAATCCCAGAGAACAAATGCAGCTTGCTCCCCCAGCTCTCCAGACACTTGACTCCCTTTGTTTGAAATTCCCCCTTCTCAGTCCCAAGACAACATATTGTGGGTTAAGACCAAGCAAGTATGTCGGGTGGTGATCCGGACCAGTTGCCTGCCCCAGTCGGCTTTGCTGCCGTTATTCTTGCCGTGACCTGTGCCCTGGCAGGCCTCTCAATCATAACGGTTTCCCTGCGGACCATAGTGCGAATCTCCGATAAACTCTTCGGCTTGGATGATAGCTTGATGCTTGTGGGATTGGTATGTATTCTGCCGGTGCTTCACCACTTGGCCACTAGCATTCTGACTTCCATCTAGATCTTGTTCCTGGCCGAGTGTGGGGTCGTCGCCTACGGCACCTTCGTTGGGCTGGGATACAAAGATGCCTCGACCGGCGATCACGCAAAATACGAAGTCGTCAAGTATGTCATCCTCTGGCAGATCTTCTACGTCACGTCCCTCTGTGCCATCAAGTGTGCCATCTGTATCACCCTCTCTCGAATCGCCGAAGCCACAGCCCACCGATTTACAGTCTACGGCATCACCGTCCTGACCTGCGCGACGTCCCTGATCGGTTTCGTCGGCATCATGATATCCTGCCCCCCCGTCTGGGCCGATTGGCAGCCCGGCACGGCCATATGCACATCGAACCAAGTCATAATCTACATCAGCTATCTCGTCTCAGTCTCGAGCATCGTAACGGATTTTGCCTGCGCCATTCTTCCTATATTCATTCTCTGGAGCACCCAGATAAGAGCCTGGGCCAAGTTCTCGGTTGCCGTAGTCTTGGGACTCGGTACACTGTAAGTCCTCTCGATACACCTGTACTGCCGATGGGCTGTGTGGAAATTGGCCAACTAACAAGACAGTGCCTCTGTTACCACCATTGCTAGAATACCATTCTTGAAAGCCTACAGAGAGCCAGAAGACAATTTCCTGTGTAAGTCAAACCTCGACCGCCCCCTAGTACCCCAAGCTGACCACCATGTGTCTCCAGACCAGATAGGATATGTCATTATACTCTCACTGGCCGAGTGCGGCATCGGCCTCATCGCGGGATCGCTCCCCATGGCCCGCCGGCTGGTCCGCAAGTGGCGCGGCAAAGACGACGAGACGACCGAGACCTCGCGGCTCACGCCCCTTTCGTTCATGACCTTTGGCGACAGTGGACGCAGCCGCCGGAATACCATTGTCAGTCTCGGCCCCCGTGGACGAAACGGCAACCCTGCTACAGGCATATCTCAGGCGACCGTCAGGGCAGCTCAGCCAAGCGAGGCATGGGAGAAGCTGGAGAGCGGCTCAGCCCGCCTGCCGACGCCGGACAAGGACAAGGTGGAGAGTCACTCCATCCTCGAGCGCCGGTCCGTGATCATCGAGTACGAGATCGGCACCCTGCCCGGACTGTCCGAGACCAGGAGCCTGCCCAGATTCTCTAGGTCGAGCTGGGACAATTCGCTGAATAGATCACGCAGCAGCAGCACCTGATAAGGAAGCTAATACTGAGAGAGAGTGCAGGTACGCTTAGATTATTTATGATGTTAGTCCCACAGAGGAAACGAATCAACTGTCTACGGAACGAGATATGACACCTTCAGGGATGATTTTGGGAGGAAGTCGAGGCCAACTAACTATGTTATTCATTGGGATTGAGGGCGACTCAATCAGGAACGAGAGTTATCTTTGGAACCAAATTGCAATTGCTCGAAACGGCAATGGTAAACAATAGATCTATCCTTATGTGTGTGTGGTATAACCAGATAAAACGCCAAAAAATAAACCAAAAACCTTATATAATTACCAACTTTATATCCTCTATAACCCCGCCTATGTTCATCAAATGCGATCTGGATGTCGCAGTGTAGTCGTGAATGTCCGTTTACTCATACTTGATAGTGTCATACTGACTCTTCGCCCTGATGCGGCGGCCAAACTTGAACAGGGCCCATGGGATAGGCATCATGGCAATGGCGATGAAACCCAGGAGGCTGCTCGCCCATTCAATCTCAAGCTTTTGATACACTGAAAAGCGATAATGTTAGCCAAATGCCACCGGTGCCGATTCGGGAAGAAAAGAAACTTACTCTGAATGGTGAAGAGGGGGAAGACAGCAGCGAAGCCGTACCGGGCCAGGCTGTTTGCGCTGGCGGCGCTGGCCACGACATCCGGCGTGTAGGCATCTCCCTTGTACTGGAAGGTGCTGATGAAGATGCAAATGTTGCCCCAGGCGAAGAAGATGATGGCGGCGGCGGGACTGGCCCAGGAGACGCTCTCGCGAGCGGACCAGCCGAACCAGAACAGGCCGATGGGGAGCACGATGCTGCCGACCATGGCGCCGTAGAGGCGGTGCTCGGGGGGGACGAGGTTTGGGGGGTGGCGGGCGACCTGCTTCTGGTAGAGGAGCTTGTCGCAGACGATCATCGTCACGAGACCCAGAACGCAGCCGATGATGACGGCGAGGAAGACGAGACCGCACTCCTTGACGGAGAACTTGTACACCAAGGTGAAGACGTAGGGGACGGCAGCGAAGAAGCTGAATAGTGTGCCGAAGCCCAGGGCTACATAGAGGCAGATGAAGGTCACGATAGGCTCGAAGAAGAGCATACGCACTGGGCGGAGGACTGAGCGGAAGAAGAACTCATGGAGACGCTCAGGTACGGAGGGAGGTGCGGGAACAGGAAGACCGGCCTTGATGGCGAGACGGCGGCGGATGATAGGGTGGAAGGTCTCCTTGGAAAGGAGGGTGAAGACGAGGGCAACGGCGGAGATCATCAGCAGGCAGTACTGCGTCCATCGCCAGTTGTGCTCGACTACGGCGTAAGCACCGACAACCGGGCTGTCAGAGCTGTTAGTTTCCAAAGACTGAAACGTGAGAGAAGAGATGTACGAACCCAAGACCTGGACCAAAGAAACCCATGAGGACGACGATGGCGCTGACTGGGCCTCGCTTCTCTGGCCTGAAGAGTTCACTGCATGAACCGACTGCGATGGCCATGGTAGGACCCCAGCAGAAACCGGCGAGGAACCTGAAGATGCAGAGGGCGGCAAAGTTGGGTGCCTCGGCGGCACCGATTGTAAAGAGGGCACCGGTAAGGACACATCCCACGTAGACCCATCGACGTCCCAACGTCTCGGAGAGAGGGCCACCGATAATGGGACCGAAAGCCAGGGCGATGACATAGAGGGTAAGCGTGAGGATGATGGTGGTGCGGCTGGTGATGCTGAAATGTATTCCGAGATAGGTGATAGCGGGACTGACGATGGAGGCGGAAATGGAACTAGAACAACTGTGAGCGTGATGACATCTCGTATTGGAATGCAAATATCCCTTACGCTAAGCACGATACCAGTGAGAGCATGATAACATGGATTGTCTTCGTCCCGGAGCTCCAGTTATAGGGGTTGGCGGGGTCCTTGTCCCAGATCTGATCGGCCGTTTCCTTCTCTGAGACCTTCTCGGGGGCCTTTTCCGGGACGGGTGTTGCAACTCGAGTCGTGACACCGCTCGGTGCCTCACTTGGTACGGCGGTTGGGACCTCGCTTTGGAAAATGTTCGGGACGGGGCTCAGGACGGGGAGAGTGATAACCGACTGGGACTCAAGGTCCCCGAGTTTTATTGAAGAACTCATCTTGGGCGTGAGAGGAGATGACCGAGAACTCTTAGACAGGCGGTGAATGGCGAAGGGCTTCTTGAAACAGACGAGCTAACGACTGCGACAAAGTGTCTCGTCTCTTGTTGTCGATAACGGCCATCTACTTAGTTGACGGGAGCGGGCCATCAGCTTAAATACCAATGTCAGCCCTGAAGCCGTTGCCAGGGCCAGAACCATAAAAGAGGGCTGCGGTCCCTCATCCCGGAGACACGGACACATCGCAACTCGCAAAAGAGGATCCGCCATGACCAGACTAATAATACAAACATGATAACCATGACTAGTCGCCCACGTTGATCCATGTTGTAATATGAGGGTCTTCCTAGATCCGGGAGGGATTGTCGAGCTTATGTCGGGGCAGGGGTGGGAGCCAAGGGACCAAGGCCCTCTCACCCTGGATACGGTCTGCGCAGGGCTGAAACGGCATTAAGCTACCGGGACCGAGGAAGCTTTTCCCGCAGACCAAATTTTACTTGGCTCTATTGGCGCTTATGTTAGACCATGTATGCTTATATGAGGTTGTATATTGCCTCAACGGGTAGTTTGTTGCGCTTGAACGCTTGGCCTACGCCTGGGATTGCTCCCAACTCGCAACACCATCGGTGTGTGTGTGTGTAGCCTCAGAAGGATGTCTACAGTGGAAGGAATTGCTAGATGTGTGGTGGTGTTGAAAGTGTGTCTGTTGGTGGTGTGTGAGCCGCATGTCTAGTGGCGTCTAACGATGGCACCGTACCTATGCATATGCACCATGACCACCATCAAAAGTCCTTGGATCACAATAAATAGAAGCAAAAAAGAAAGAAAGAATGTCCACAAAAAGAAGCGTCAGGCGTTTGGCCGAGACATGTGAACGACAGAAGGACGGGAAAACAGGTCATCTCGCACCGCCACGGTGCCTGTTGCTGTGCTTAATGCGTTGTCTTGGGTCGGTCAGCAAATATCCACAGACCTTTCGAAATTTGATGCCTGGATGGGGGGCCACGGCAGTCTAGTTGCGACGAGTCGAACGCTTAGAGCCGATGGCCATGGGACGGCCCACTGCCGGCATTAACTGACTGCAGCAAACGATGTATGGATGGATGAAACGAGAGCCAACAGCTCGTGGCAGCCACCCGCAGCGCCACCGATTTTGGCAGATTGTTGGCGCCCAGCACGTGGGACCATCCGTTAATCTGGACGATGAGTGAGATCAGGCGCTTGGTGTTCGGCGCACGCTCCCAAAGAGGAATCGAGGTGCGCGATTACACTGACTGTTTCGTTGCTGACTGCAGTGGCTGGCGCGTCAACGAGCCTAAAAATAGGAGGCCTGTCCTCGTCGCTGATGAATCATTTTTGCCCCCAAGTGCAGGGCTCTGGGAGCATCCCGTCCCTCCCTGATCGGCCGTGGATCGATGTTGCGTTCTGTGGCGTGGTGCAGCTTGCATGTGAATCGCGATGGAATTCTCCTTCGCAGGAATACGCCCAAAACGGGACACTCATGTCGATAGCTCGCGAGAATATTGAGCTGAGCGGCTCGTTGTGTGCCGGGTCTGGATCAGCAAACCAGGCTATGGCTGTTGGTCGTCCGACGTCCACAATTGAGGCATACCCTGTCTCTGCCGCAGCTTGCATGTCAGACTAATGATAAAAGACCCAGCGAGAGGAGACTGAGTGTACCCACCAAGAGATACCAAGCCTTGGGAGCTGGCGGCAATCAGACCAAGGAAGGAAATAATAAGTTTGGCAGAGTCGTCGATGTTTGCCAGTTCTTACTCATGTGGCTACGGGCCGAATATCTCGCAAGTGATCTTGACATAAGCTGATAGAGCTCGTACCAGCTGAAGTCCGATGATGGTCGTTTTTTTTTGTTCCCTTCTGGCCCTTCGTCAAGCGTTGAAATGCAGGGCAGTTGCGACGAAGTCAATTATGTAAGCGGTGAACAGGTAAGCGGCCTTATGCCCGAGCAGCGGCTAATGGATCCGAATGTGGTGGGCAAGGCCACTAACACAACTGCCAGGAGGTACGTCAGCATGCTCTAATCCCGTGCATCATCTGCTGTAGCAAGCGCTGAGCTTCATGCATGCAATGCGCTGGAGGTCCAGGATTGTCGTATTTCCACTCACCAGGCCGAGCTTTGCTTGACCATATCCATCCCGAACATTCATTAAATACCGAGCTCATACGAAGTGATTTCAATACAGTGATTGCCCCATATCTATGTTGCAACAGACCATTGGCAGTAAATCCAAGGCTCTAAAATTGTCACCATCCAGTGAGCCTTTGTAACATTTGGGTGTTCATTTCGTGCCTCACCCCACCCTATAGGAGCATCCGCTCCGACAACAACGGGTTTTAATGCAACTCGCGCTCAAGTCTACAGCTGCTTTACATTAAAGATTGCCCAACTAAATTCATTTCCAGATTGCATAAATGATTTAACAAAGCCTTGACATGGCGAAGAGACAATTTACAGCGAGTTGACGAGGGGCGTTTTCAAGTAGGGCGAACATACAGGGACGCGGATTACGCCAAGAGGCGGTTTGAGGTTGCCAATCTGCCGAGCAGCACAACACCTACTTGCGTAGCGCCATGTAGGTTTTGGCATATAATGCATCAAAATGAATCTACATATAAAGCTAATCATTTGATATACTCAGAACAATGTACAACCAGGAGAGTGTTTGTTTAAGAGGGATTCGTACGCCCCCACCGTCAGCTGTCAGCCATGTCCCTGATATCTTACTCTCTTTCTTGAACTCCTTTTGTCAGCCCCCTTGAGACCTTTGTATTTCCAAATTCAAGGAGTCGACGATCAAAGCACTGCCACAATTCGAAGCGGATCAATCTTCAATTGCTTGGAGCTACTGCTGAATATCTGCGATTCTTACTCCTTCTTTCCCTTTGCAGCACCAATCAACTCCAAGCAACCGTAGATAGATGATTCTTTTTCGGCGGGCTATCTCCCCCATTAAACAATATCTAGCCCTGCGTCCGCACCCTGTAATGCTCATGACATCATCTTCCAAGCACGGCGGGCTCCTTCGCTTTGAGGCCGTACCACGGCATGGCTAAGTCTACTCGTAGTCAAGACAACTAAGACTATCGGAGGCACATCATCTGAAGCATATCACCTGTTAACAATGCAGAACCTAGTCAAGGTCCTTGTTTGCCACCGACCATTTTTACAGCCCTGGATGATCGTGCAAATGGGTAGTTCATTGTCCACGAGAACGAGGATGAGCAGACCATCGATATCCTGGACGCCTTGACAGATCATATACTCCCCTTGTATGATGATGGTGATGAATCTTTCCAGACTGCCGGTAGGGAGGAAATGCTGGGTTGGGAAGCATCGGAGAGCGTAGGGCGAGATCAGACTGGGAGATCATTCATCACAGATCGAGCATTTGAATGAAGCGGTGTTAAAGAAGTCGCTAGGAGCTCTTTGCTGATGGAGTTGCCAGAATCTTCGGCGGGAATACTCAAGTAGAGTTTGATATTAAGAAAAAAAGGGGTTGCCTAATAATAAAACACGAACAGGGTGCTGAAACCCTGCAGGACTGATTCTTTCTCTCTGTAATTTGGACCACTAGATACATGCTCTGTCACAAGGCAAGACATTTGCTTGTGAATAGGTCGCTCTTATTAGCTGGTGAAGGGTATGTGAATGAGAGTGAGCGAGAGCAACAAAGCCGGTGGGTTTGTTGTATATTTTCGGATCAATGACAAAGATCCGGTTGATATTGAATTGCTCCAGCCTCCAAATGAGTTCAAGTCAAGGTGTTAATGACTCAACCAAACCACCACCGGGGAACACGTCCGACTACTTGCGCGCCTGTGACACTGACTTGAAATTTCCCAGGCCACCCTTTCGCACATGTCCTATAACTTACTTTAAGAAAATGAAGGTTGGGAAAAAACGCCTCGCGTGATAACCCCCTTGTCACTTGATCAGCATGAGAAGACCAGGTCTGTATACAATGTGCCATGATTAACGTCCTGCAGCAGGATATATCGACAAAGCTCCTATGAAGAGTGACCAAAGAGGTCAGCAAACGGACAACAATGTGCAAGAGATGGAATGTATACCCCAAATTAGAAACTACTATCAAGGTCCAACCACTGGTAAGGTGTTGCAAGGGTTGTGTGGAGCATACTCTTGATGGAACGAATGGCGACTGCGCCGTTCAGGCTCCACCAAACGCTGACCGCACCAATCCATCAGCCTTGACACTCCAACTCTTGATCAAATCCTTCGTAAAGATATAGATTCTTTCCGACATTTTCTCACCCCCCTCCTGAAGCGCAGAGTTTACGCAAAGCGGTAAGCCTCCCACTAGATCATGCGCCTGATTAGCACGAGTACCTACACCCTGCGAGAGTTCAGAGACGGGGAAATCCCGCGCCATGCCATATTGTCACACGTCTGGGGCGAGGAGGAAGTTACTCTACAGGATGTCGTAGGCTCCCACGCCACAGGTAAACAGGGCTATGACAAGCTCCAGGGCTGTTGCTCCGTCGCTGCGGCTAATGGCTTCGAATACGCCTGGATTGACTCTGTTTGCATCGACAAAACGAGCAGTGCTGAGCTTTCCGAGGCGATCAACTCGATGTACTACTGGTATGAAGAAGCAGATGTGTGCTATGCGTACCTGGCCGACGTAACCGCGACATATGAGATGGCTTCCAGCAAATGGTTTACCCGAGGGTGGACTCTGCAGGAGCTGATTGCCCCACGGTCCATGATTTTCTATGATAAGGACTGGCAGGTGCTTGGGACAAAGGAGGAGCTAGGAGAGATTATTTCGGCATGTACCAGAATACCCAGAAGCATTCTCTCTGGCGAGGGGGATCTCATGTCGCAAAGCATTGCTCAGCGAATGTCATGGGCTTCGCAAAGGAAGACCACCCGGATCGAGGATCGCGCCTATTCTCTTCTTGGCATCTTTGGCATCAACATGTCATTGATATATGGCGAGAGAGAGAACGCCTTCATCAGACTTCAAGAGGAGATCATGCGCATCTCGGACGATCAAACGATTTTTGCCTGGCGATCACGGGATCACCGAGGCGGGTTGCTCGCTACATCCCCGGATGCCTTTTCCGATGGCATGAACATCGTTAGATTTGACAAGGATGACACTGTCGATGAGCCTCCCACCAGCAATAGCCAAGGCATTCATCTGCATGTGAATTTCTTGGGCGTCAAAGTCCGTGGAGTAGGACTGGCGATACTCCACTGCTGCGACACCGCCGATAGAGCGAAGCCGATCGCCATCTATGTCAGAGACCTGGACTTCAAAATGAAGCGTTTCGAGAGATTCCAATCACATTTGGCTGTACCGATAGATATGGCATCTTATTCACCCTCGAGATTTGCTATACGGCATATCTGTGTCCAGAGGGGCAATCTCTTACGCCAAAGAAGAGCAAAGGAAGAATCCTCATTCGGGGTCGGAGACATCAGCAATGAGTCTGCAGAAATAGCGGTCAAAAGATTTCCAGGGGCAGGCGGCCTCGTCGAAGCAGCGAGTGCTGGCTACAGTGACGTTGTGTGGCTTTTACTTACTCTCAGTGACATAGAGGCCGAAATAAAGGCTGGCAACCTGTCCGAGGTCTTTTGGGCAGCGGCTGAGTATGGACACGCTAAGGTTCTCGAGATCCTTGTCGGTAGGAGTCATTTTCCGATCAACAAGGTCGCTAAAAATGACGAAGGGGAGACACTTTTAGTCGGGGCGGTGAGGGGAGGGAGCCTTGATGCTGTTGAGCTTCTGATGAACGCGGGCCTTGAGCCAATATCGTATCCTCGCCAGTCAGCGTTGGCGTACGCCGCGATGATTGGCCGGGAGGACATGGTGCGGCTGCTAGTCGAGAGGGGAGCGAATATTGGCTCAATAGATACCTTCCACAAAACACCCCTCTGCCATGCTGTGGAGAACGGCCGCACGTCAGTTGTGAGATTGCTGATTGAGATGGGAGCTGCTTCAGCTGATCACGGGTTTGCTAAGAAAGATGCGTACTCAAGAACACCGTTATCATACGCTTCAGAAAAGGGTTACGTCGAGATTGCTCGTATGCTTTTACGCAACAAGGAAGCTTTGGAAATATCCAATCAAGGTTTGCGAACGCCGTTATCATTCGCTGCAGAGAAAGGAAATGACTCCGTTGTGAAGTGTCTTTTGGACAGCGGCGCTGACCCCCTGAGCCGTGATGTAGCAGGCAGATCGCCCCTCCATTTTGCTGTGAGGGATGGCCATGAAGGCGTCGTAAAATTGTTGATCGAGAGGAGTGTCACCACCCTTAAGATCGAGGACGGGGGTGGCAAAACACCCTTCTTCTATGCTGCCAAAAGAGGCAGCCTTGGCCTTGCTCAGCTTCTGGTGGACATGGGTGCCAGTATAAAGACAAAGGACCGACTTGGGAAAACGCCTTTGTCTTATGCTGTGGAGGCAAATGATACTGAAACGGCCCAATTTCTGATCGAAAACGGAGCAATCATTTCTGATGAGCCTCGAGAGGTGCGCAAAGCATATCAGAATATTTCCAATAGACACGATACTGTAACTCCTCATAAACGAACTTCATCAAAGCGGTTCGGGATAATCTAGAACCACGTTCCTCCTATGATACGATGGTCGAATCATTAGCCTTTCTCGTTGTGCGATATTCCTGGTTGCTCAGTGGTTAGAACGGTCTATGCGTTTGTTTCAACCTTGGAATTTGATATGTGGATGATCAACTTTCTTCAGCAGTATACGTTCATTTCTCTGCATCGTCTGGCCGGAGGAATGTTGACTTGTCCGAGTATCTCAAATAGATTCATGACCTTGGGGCTGTCATAGGACGGCAATGATGCTTCTGCAAGACTGAAAAGATATCCGAGAACATGTGCATGCATCGCGTATGTGTTCTCCAACGTTTGTTAAATTTCCGCCTCCGTGGAAATTTATATCACTCTCTTCTTCCCCTTTACTTGGAAGAAGTTGGCTGAGTTCTTACTCCCCCTGATCTGGTTCAACACTGAAATGGTTGTCTGTTGGCGAGATAGAGTCTGGTTGAGTATACGTTGTTCACTTTCTGTGGTGAGGGTTTCAGTCGTGGGAATTCCTTCTATCGTTTCCGATGGCAATGTTGCAATTTATTCTTCCGCAAAACTTCGTGCTCGGGCTTCTTTGGCGTTAGGGTGGTCTTCTGGAAAGCGGTCCAGAATGATGGTATGTGGGCGTTCGAGTACCCATTGTTGTATTTCTTTATACATGACACCCATCATTTATCTTCGGCATGCGTTATGGCGACTTGCAGAGCGCTCGCTTCACAACCGATACCATTTCAACAGGAGCACAACAGATGGCACAGTTGGGGTCCATTATATAAACCTCGTGTGTTTTGGGCTTCTCCTGCCTTTTTAGAATGTGCTGTAGAATAGGATCTGCTGACCTGGAATGAAATGCGAGAAAAGTTGATGTAAAAAAGGCTCAACATTAGTGCCTTCTTAATCTCTGATCCGAAAACTTTTGTCAGCTTTGGCGCTATCCACCTCCTTTCCAACTTCTCTGATGGTGTTAGGGAACTTATTGAGCAGGTTGAAGTTGGCTGTCAGGCTTTTGAGAGTTTGATTGAGATCGTTGTCGACAGACGCCGTGGGCTGACTCCTTAGTCTTCGGTCTGGAGGGGTTCGATTTTCGTCAAACCTAGATATCTTTAGCCCAACATTGAAATCTCTTCGAATGTGCCAAAGAATTATACATACATTCCTCTAAACGATCTTCGCGTAGTTCAAGCATTGCGTCTACTGCATCTTGAATCTCATGCACCTCGCGAAGCCTATGGCTACGAGAGGCTTTGCTGGAGGAATACACCCGAAAATTAGTAGCCCAGAAGGAGAACCTCGCAAGCTTGTCCTCAAGCCACGAGAGCTCATGGGAGTGGACCGTTGTGACCTTGTTAAGACATGTTTGAAAGGACTGAAGACACGTCTCTGCGCGCACGACGGTAGTTGAAGCAGCTTCGCCAACGGCTCATTCTGTCGCCGCCATGGCACTAAACTTCCACTGGTCGAGAAAATAGCCGCAGGGCACGGAGGAGTTAGTCGTTGATTCGGAAAACAACTCAGACCTGAGTACTAAATCGAGATGGACCGCACATATACTGTTGTGGGCGGGGTGCTGGGTTTTGTTGCAACGGAAGGCGAAACCAGCCTCAGGCAACAACGGAGATGCTCACTGTCAGGAAGGTGCAGTCCCACTGCGACACATTGCTCTAAATGATATGATCAACGATCTAGGCAACGTTTTTAAGTGATCGTAGCATGGTTGTCGACGTTTTGGTGATTCTTGGGGTCTGTTTCACACTGGAGATGAGCTTTGGGGCTGGCGCAGAATGACACGATGGATTCCGGTCTTGTTGTTCGATCTGGGGCGGTAGCGAGATGCCATCCGGTAAAGGGATTATTTATCATGAACTGGGACCGGCGCTATCATTTTGGGATATGGTAATCTCATGACGCATACATAGAACCAAGCTCCAAAGAACTCTTATTTTGCAACAAAAAGATTTGCGAGTCCCTCGATACTCACATTTCCTCCACTCAGAACGATACCAATATCCCATCCAGCTTCTCCTGCCTCCTCTTCAACCATCTTCCTAAACTCCTCGTTGTAAAGCGCGACAGCCAGTGGAACAGCTGCGCTGGGCTCAACAACCAGCTTCATTCTTTCCAGTATCAGCTTCGTCGCCTGAAGAATTTCCTCCTCAGTAACTGCATACATTGCAGAAACAAGCTTTCGCTCATAAATGACACCCCAAGGGTGGACGCCAGCCGTGCCCATCAATCCGTCGGCGATGGTACTTGTCTTGACCTTCGTGATCCTCTTGCCGGCCAAGAAGCCACGTCGGACATCATCTGCCCCTTCAAACTCTGGTTCGGCTCCGAAGACACGAATGCCGGTACCTTCGCAGCTGAGCGCGACTCCTGATAGCAAACCTCCACCGCTGCATGGTGTAATAATGGCATCTACCTTGACCTGTTCTTGTAACTCCAGGCCAACGCTGGCTTGGCCAAGGATGATATCTGGGTGATCAAACGGCGGCACAAGGCGTGCGCCCTTCTCGGCTACAATCCTAGACGCAGCAATTTCTCGTTCGAAGCGCCCGCAAAGGACTACTTCAGCTCCATATCCCTTGGTAGCTTCAATTTTATTTGGCCGCACAATGTCGGGCATCACAATATAAGCCGGTATTCCGCTCTCTCTAGCCGCGAGCGCAAGTGCCTGCGCATGGTTGCCTGCAAAATGGTGTCAGAAATCAAGTTCCATGGAGACCAATATCACGACCGGTAACATCCTCATACCGGAGCTGAAACCAACAACACCGTTCTGCATGCCTCCACTCTCTAGCCAAATAGGATCTTGTTTCAGTTTCTCAATGGCATAGAACGCTCCACGAGCCTTGAACGCCCCAATGCGCTGTAGGTTCTCACACTTGAACCAGAGCCTTATGACTGGTTTTGCGGGGTTGACTCCGCCAGTCTTCGGGGTCGAGGCCATCTTGGTCAAGGTGGCGCTGCTCATGACGGGCGTAAGATGAATCAGTGGCTTTATGACCTTATGAGCTTCGATAGCACTCTCCCTGGTCAAGGGTAGACATGTTGAAAGGTCAGCCATGATGCACAATGTCCACAGTCACTGATGTGAAAAGGTTGTCCAAGGAAGAGGGGCTTCCTCACAGACGGGGGGCCTGATTGTCACGTATATAATCATTCCGCCAGTGGGGAAAGGATTTGAATTAGTCACTAGGAACCTAGCCGGCTTTCGGAGGAAGAGTGACTAACAAGGCGCTCATCTTGGCGCGATCCTGGTCAATTGATCGAGGCATCGTATTGCTCGCTTCCTTCAACGACGCCTGGACAGTTAATCATCTCGAAGTGCTACCCCAAGTGGAGGTTCTTTCCGCATCTAGTGAAGTTTGATGTTGATTAATCAATACAAATACGTTTCCCGATAAGATGATCCTAACGGCCATGATACCTTCTACTATCGAGCACGATACGATGAACTGATGCTCAGGACCAAAAGCCGCTCATCGGCCCCGACACTACATCATTGGCCAGAATGCGATGGTATAGTTTTCCCCGCTTGTTTAAAGTACCTGTGGATCTTCTAGATTCCTTTCTCCATAACAGGAAGGTATGTAAAAGAGAGAGTTCAAACCCCGAGGGACTATCAATTTTCTGGTTGACGACGATAAGATATTGAACGCTTTGTGGCCATGGCGTGAATATTCCTCTTCTCTCGCCTAAACGCTTTAATGAATTTTAAACACCTCCACGTCATGCCTATATGCATGCTTTCTCGAATCCCTTCTCAAATGAGTTGCGCTCGCAGTGATTCGGCGATTGCTGGCGGGGCCGAGTGCCGGCGGCGATGGCCGAGTTACTCGGTCTATCCGTATTTAAAGGCGGAGAGTTTCAAGCAATATATTTTGATTGATCAACTTACGGGATTCATTTCACGTTGTACCACCGAGTCCGCTGATCACTTAGAAATATTTGAACCCAACTAGCATACTCTCAAGTGTATCTCTGCTACCCATTACCCTCCGTAGCCTTCACCAAATTCGAAGATTGAAGACCCTAGTGCCAAGAGGAGCACCCGGTATTCTCCAGTGATATCAAGCCTAGTTTGCATTCAAGTGGCGATATGAATCCCTCTAATAGCTGATTTTTGCTCTTCAATGTCGTGAGAGGGCGCGTAGAGGCAACTCCTCACCAGTTTGTGAAGGCTTCAACCCCCAACTGCTCGCTCTTCTTGGGCCATCTATTTCCGAGACGGGATCGCGTGCTCGTCAAAATACATTCCTGACAGTTATGGAATTTGGCCACTTGGATTCCAGGTTGAAATGCTGACGGGCGAAGTCCCCTCCCCGCTCTTCCGGCACCCAAATTTCCCACCAGCAGCGGTGCGGTCAAAGTCGATGTGTATGAAGTTAGACTATTTGAAATTCACATATTTCTTTTTTTACGTCTCTAATGGATCAAGAATTAAAAGTAAATTAAACAGCTTAGTTGTTGTGGCGTACTATAGCTAGACTTGCGAGGCCGTATCAGGCCCAAGACGACAATTCCGGGAAGGCTTTGACTTTGGAACCATCCCAGCAAAACTATGGGGGAAGGTATTAAAAACGAGATTAGACCCTGCAGGCAGTAGACATTGTCGCCGCTAGCATCTGAAGAGCCTCGAAACCCTCTCCTCAACAGCTAAGAGCTTTTACCTCTAGAAGTACAGAATCGCGACCGTAGATCCCCCAGGGTACCAATAGAACTGCATGTTCGCTTCCTAGCTAAGCCCGCTCGACGCAAGGATCCATCAAAGATCCATTCTGTGTTCCTTTCATGGCTATGAATTGGGCGAACCTGGACAATAAGTTGCAAGGATTGGAAGTTACCTCCACCGTACTGAGGCGAAGATGAAAGACTACTTGGCGAACCCGGGGAGTAGGGTGGTGAAGATGGGTAGTGAGATGGTGAGAATGGGGAGCGGGATGTGGTGACGCTTCCAAAAGCTGCACTAGGAAGCTCTGAAGTGACCGAGGACTACTGCTGGGAGGAGAGATCTGGCTCAGTCTCTTCGTGCTCGATGCTTGGTCCTGCGGAAAGATCCGAATCAACTACCTCCCCATGGACCATACTGCGAGCTTGCTCATGGCGGCAGCCCTCATCAAGGATTTGGGAGGCGGATTCAACATGCTCTGTTGCCTCTTTGTTCTCGCTCATGGGGTCGGCGTTTGTTTCCACGAAACTCACCTGGGGTTGTTAGGAAGAGGCGGTTCGAGAAAATCAGCCTCACTTACGAGTTTCTTGTCCTCTTTCTTGACGTTCGACATTGTGTAGGTCGAAAAGATCAAAGAAGGATAGATTCTTGTTCTCGTAGCGTATGTCGCCGGGCGGAAACAAGGTGGTGAGAGATTAAGTGCAGAGTGAAAGGGTGAAGAATCAATGCAGAAAGCGAAGATGGATTGGAAGAACGAATAGGAGTAGGAAGAAAGACTGCTTGCTACCCTGTTGAGGAAGAAAGGCGGGCGTCAGTGGCCTGCCTCAGGCAACCACTGTAGTGCCAAGGTCAATACAAGAACCAGGAAAGAGGGAAAGAACGCTTCAGTTGGTAAGGTACCTTAGCTGTGAGCCACAGTGGATGGAAACGGCAAGTTCTCTACAAACAGGTGCTGGGCGCCATAAATACTTAAGGAAGGCACACAGTGGCCACTAGCATTGGTCCTCACTCAAACAACAACGCCATAAATAGCAATCAAATATCATCAAGAAAATATGGAGGACAAATCTTCTCCATTTACTTAGTTCCGTATTTACTACTACCAACAAGATAATGGGCTTCATACATTTCGGGGCTCAGCGCCTGTTGTGACAACCACATAGGGCACGGTGCAGGAAGCCCAGGCAGGCACACGCGAATGAGTGCCAGTAGCCTCAGGCTTCAACCATTGACTGAGGCCCAAGAGAAAAATCTTCTGAGTTGACCTTACAGAGCTGATTGATATCTTATGCAATAATATCCCTCACAAGTCGCTTTTTGTGGTCTTTTCTCGGCCAGTGTGCTCAATTAGTACTTTGCACAAGCTCAAACCGCAGGCAACAACCGCCAATTGTGCCCAAGATAATTGAGATGAAGCCTGCGCTTTTAATCCCCTACTATGTATAAAAACTATGCGATGTACAAACCTAATGATATGAAACAGCCTCGCTTTTTCTATCATCTTTGATGGTAAGCGGATCTCTCCTTGCGAGCGCTACTCTCGATTGGAGCAGCCTCGCCTCGGGAATATCGAGAGAACAACAAAAATCTACAGTTCCGAGTTCTTGTATTCTCTATTCTAGTATTTCAGATTTGAGATATAGTCTTTTGTGTCTTTTGTGGAAGAGGATTTTCAAATCAGAGCATGATTGAATGCACACAGTTGTCCAATGGCTCTTTAAACCACACTAGCAGAACCTTGGCTCAGAATAATTCAACACAATGTCTTTACGTGAATTGCCTATTGAATTCTCGTTCAGAGTTCTATTTTTCTTTTCCCTTCCTGGCAAATGTCTTCTGTGGGTAATTAAAAGCAATGCGATCAAGATGGTGTCGTGTGGTGGTTGTGCCCACCTAGGCAGATTATCCGGGGATGACATATCTTTACGAATACCACGAAAAAAACGAATACCCACGTGCACCCAAAAGCTAATCCAATGGGGACTCCATTAAATGTAATATGCATTGATACTATACATTGCCACATCTATTAATTCCACCAGATGTCCACTCGTAACCTCGGATATATCTGCTGCCTGCATTGCCGAACGAGAGTTATCTCCATCTGTGCGCGCGTAATCCTGGCCCGCTTACAAAGAGAGCCTTATCCACCAGACGCGAACCCTCCCGGTGGCTTGTGGTAGCCTGTGTGATTCTAGAACGCAATCTCTTCCTTGGAAGGTGAGCTAGGTGCATGCATAATGTGCCACTGGCTTCTCGTCACGCCAGAAAAGAAAACCCGTCTTCCTCAGTAGACTAGGGGATTTCACAGCCTTGACAGCGTAGAGACAGACCCTCCAGGTGAGAGGTGGATCTCGCCATCAATCATGGGGTTTAAGTTTACAGTTTGAGGTAAACTTAAAGGAGAACGGGGATTCCGAGTTCCAACTGGTGCAGATCACAGCAAGATGATGCGAGTTAAAACACTAGGAATCATGGATGTGTCCGCGGCTGGGCATGATTCGTCACCGTCTTTCCCTGCTCCGAGGGACAACGCCGATCAAAAGCCATAGTGGAAGACGAAGGAAGGTGCAATTTTCCAAATCGGAACCGAAATACAGGCGTTATGCTCCCGGAATTAACTCCAGACTGTCCGTGCCATTATGTCATGGTCAGCTTGGGAAGTTGTGCGCCACCTGGAAGCGTCAACGCTCCAATATTGATCTCGAACCATTACCCCTGTGGATTCGTGGAGCCCCCGCCTCTCTTTGATTTGCTTCTTTAGCTGGGAGGGAGGCTGATCGGCACAGAATTGTCTCGTAGATCTACACATGAGTGATGTTTTCTCGTCGTCACACGGTGAGCAGTAGTGCCGGATTGCCGAGTTTCCAGAACATGACTTGCCAAGTCGGGGATGGTTGTAGAGACCCGCAGTTATCGGCACCAATGTGCCGAAGGCGAAGGGATACAGACTACAATAATTGGTGAAAATTTGGGGATTGGGGAACGCGGGGCTGCGGAGTAAGATAGGGTTGGAGATTGGAGTTGGCTCCCTCACCAGGACTACCATCGAGCGAGGCAGGTGAACCGGGGCAGGATACAACGGTCCAAGGGTGAGAAAATGGTATTTGTGTTGGCGGCTCTTGAAGCGAGGTGTGGAATGAGGGTTTGATAGTACCTGGCGCCATAAACTGGGAGGAGTTTAGGGTGAGGGAGCCAACCACCGGCTGTCACACAATTCGGCGCTGACAGTGACATGGCACACGGTGCCGGCCACGAAACACTGTCGAGGGTCCACTCCCCCAACTCGAGTAATTGTTGGACAAGGCATGGAAGGATCCTGTGACAGTCGTATGATAAGACAGAATCCCGAGCTAAGCTCGGGAACGTAATCCCCGCAGACGAAGTTTTGGGGGGAGTGTGGAGAACCGTCAGAAGTATATCAACCTGGCAGCCGTCGTGCCGTGTTATCCTGCCGTGGATGAAACCCAACCCTTCTGTCACTGCCCCTTTATCGGTTTCTGACAGACCTCTCTCTGTCTCTCATCTGCCGTCAGCATAAGTTTGAAAAGATTTAGCTGCAAACAATCATGGCCGGCGACGAGTATGATATCAAGGCGCCGCATGTTGGCATGTCGCCTCGAGAATATGCAGCCACCAGAGTGTCGACTCTGAAGCCCCCCATGCTGCACCTGCCCAACCCCATCAAGCTATTGCGGATGCTGAGTCGGCAGCAATGGGCCTTCTTCATGGTCGCTTTCTGCGCATGGGTATGCTCTCATTGCCCTCAATATGGGTTTCGATGATCGGTCCAATCACTAACAAAGAAGTATTAGACATGGGATGCATTTGACTTCTTCACTGTGTCACTTACTGTCACCGAGCTGGCCGAGAGTTTCGAAAAGTCCAAGACAGACATCACATGGGGCATTACCCTCGTGCTTATGTTCAGGTCTGTCGGCTCAATTCTCTTCGGTGTCGCGGCGGACCGATACGGAAGGAAGTGGCCATTCATCATCAACAATATGTTGTTCATCGTCCTCGAACTTGTAAGATATTCCTTCAGCCTCGTTGTAAGCAGCGAGTTGCTAATCGGGCAATCAGGGAACCGGTTTCTGCCAGACATACTCGCAATTCCTCGCCTGCCGTGCGCTGTTTGGCGTTGCGATGGGTGGTCTGTACGGTAATGCTGCAGCTACGGCCCTAGAAGACTGCCCCGAGGAAGCTCGTGGTCTAATGAGCGGCATCCTTCAGCAAGGCGTAAGTGATCGAAATCATGGGCACCTGTGTTGGTGGATATGTGGCTAACATTCGTTCAGTATGCGCTCGGTTATCTCCTCGCTGCCGCTTTCGCTCGCGGGCTTGTTGGCACGACGCCGCATGGCTGGAGACCCTTGTTCTGGTTCGGCGCCTGCCCTCCTGTTCTTTTCATTCTTTGGCGTCTAGTCTTGCCCGAGACAGTCGCCTACCAAGAACGTGAGCTCTTGCGACAGGAAGCCATCCACGGGGGCAATGCCGGAAAGAGCGTCGGTAGTGTCTTCATGACTGAAGCCAAAGTCGCAATGAAGAAGCACTGGATTCTCCTCATCTACCTCGTGCTTTTGATGGCTGGCTTCAACTTCATGAGCCACGGAAGTCAGGACCTGTACCCCACGATGCTGTCCAACACGCTCGAATTCTCGCAGACGATGGTCACCGTGACCCAAGTGGTTGCGAACCTCGGGGCGATCACCGGCGGCACCGTAGTCGGGTATCTCAGCCAGTCGGTCGGCCGTCGCCTGAGCATCATCATCGCCTGCGTTGTTGGTGGTGCTTTGCTCTATCCCTACACCTTTGTCCGCACCGAGGCCATCATGGCAGCTGCCTTTTTCCAACAATTCTGCGTTCAGGGAGCTTGGGGTGTGATTCCCGCTCACTTGATTGAACTCAGTCCTGGTAAGTTGGCCTTCAGTTTCTCCCCCACTCCTCTTGTAAATGAATGTTGTGACGGATCGAAGGGACGAGACACGGGGTGGATCGATGATTGTGGGCGGCCTATTTGTAATGCGCTTGCTAACCTGTTGTAGGTGCTTTTAGAACCGTTGTCGTCGGTACATCGTACCAGCTAGGAAACCTCGTTTCGTCCGCATCTTCAACGATCGAAGCCAGGCTCGGGGAGCGATTCCCCCTTCCGCCGAGCGCTAAAGGCGAGAGCCGGTACGACTATGGCAAGGTCATCTGCATCTTCATGGCCTGTGTGTATGTGTATGTTATCGTCTTGACCTTTGTCGGCCCTGAGAATTTGAGAGCCAAGTTCGATGTGGCATACGACGCAGATGCGCAGGTAGTGGTAGGAGACCAGGCGCTGGAGAAGGCTAAGCTGGGACGCCGTGACGAGGAAGAGAAGACTCAGGAACAGTGGAGGGAGGTTTGATCAAGAAAACATCGCTTTGTTCCATATACGTAGGCTCGCTTAAATGTACCTAACGGGGAATAATGCAATCGCCTTAAGACAAAGGAGAAGCCACGTGACTTTGCTCATCTAACGCTGTGCCTGAGTTAGCACCCTGTGTACTTCGTGCTATGAGGACGTCCGAGGATTACTCGGCCTTTGAAGACCTTGTCAACTACTCAAGCAGGTAACCGAGAAATAGGGATAGCTAAAAGCCCCTGGGTGCCAGAAGAGACTAAGAAATAAGCCAATCGCACAAAGGAAATATTCTGTTTGGTTCCCTCGCTCGCAATTGGTGTTCAATGCCATATGAGATCTAAGGAGTTAGTTCGCATAAAAAGGCTTTCGTATGTGTGTACACGCAGGGTTTAGTTAACAGCTATCCAGGCCGAGTGGTGGTTCCATTGCTGTTAGATAATGGTGGTAGTGGTCCGGACTTCACGAACACTTAGATTTAGGGAAAATAGCAAAGTGAATGCTATGATCCGATCATAGATAAAGCATTCCAACCAACGCCAACAACCCTTTGATCTTGGTTTTATCGCTATCGGGTAGATAGGGCTTAGATCGTAACTGAGATTCGATCTGCTGTGCAATTGAACTTCACATCGATCATCCTTACTGCTGTCTCCAGCCAGTACAAGACCCTGTTTAAGCAAATCGCAGTGTCCCAGAACATTGGCTCTCCAATCGTCTCTCCGATTTAAGCGAGAATTCTTAGGTAGGCCGCGTGATCACCGAGCAAAGGTGGTGATTTACGTCCAATGATGATTGCGAAGTCTGGCTATGTAGTACATTCACCTCTTCCGCCAATTCACGATGGATAGCAGCTTTTGACTCTCTGTTCTACAACACTGGCTAAGCGAGGGCTCTCATCTGCAATCAGGATATCTCGCTTATTTGCTTCAGATACTTCCTTTTGCTACAATAGAATCAAGCTGCTATGAAACGTCTCGGAGTATAAATATGAGCCTTCGCCGACCTGATTCGACCTTCTTCCTCTCTACATGTTTTCATCAATTTGAACACCTGAGAAAATCAGAAGAACGACTTTTATCTGATCTCACTACATATTCCAACCACAATGGTGGGTCTTTTTCTAGAATGGCACCCTGACGGGCAAGATGATTTCGACGGAGTCTACGATATACACTCCCAGACGGATGATGAAGGTGCTGAAGGGCCAGATAATTTCGACGGAGTCTACGATGTACACTCCCAGACGGATGATGAAGGCGCTGAATGGCCAGATGATGCGCCGGAAAATGTCGATGAACCAGACGGGTGTATGTCTACAATTTCTATTGATGGGGAGTATTATGTTAGCGGCGGCGCGGCAAGTTCCGAACAGGAAGTTTACGAGCCGGAAAATACTACCCCCAGAACGTCCGTTGATGAAGCTGATGGAGGCTTTTGGGTCTCCCATGAACAACCAGAACATCTAATGAGGGGCGGGAACAGCCAGGATAAGCGTGCAATAAAGAGAAGTGAGAAGAAGAATGTGGGGAAAGATCACAGGCAGGGGAAGGGAGGAACAGAGAAACAGAAGGGGGGGAAGGGTAAAGAGAGGAAAAGTGACAAGCAGAATATGAAGGAGAATGATAAAAATGGCGAAAAGCAGAGGGGGAAAAAGATTCAATGGAAGAGAGATGAAAAGGGGAAGAAGGGCGAGAAGAAGGAGGAAAGGGGGGATAAGGATAAGGGAAAGAAGGGGGAACGGGTGGATAAGGGGAGGAAGGATGGTAAGGAGAAGAACGAGGAAAGGGGAAAGAAGGCGGACAGGGGGGGAAAGGCGGATAAGGGGAAGGACAAGGTAAAGGACAGGGTAAAGGACAAGAAGGATGAGAATGATAAGGTAAAGGACAAGAATGATAAGGTAAAGGACAAGGTAAAGGACAAGAAGGATGAGAAGGACAAGAAGGATGAGAAGGACAAGAAGAAGGGAAAGAACAGGAAGAAGCCCGCCAGAAAAGTCCCAAGAATCCCCTGGAAATCCATTTTTTGTTATTGTTTTGAATGAGAAATAGGGATTTGAATTTAAACTGTTAAACTCTCGTATGATGTCTTACGGAGAGATAATTTCCAACCTTCAAACAAGCAGTATGAGTTAGAGGCTCAGTAGAAAGGGAAGAAATCAACGTACATCAAGGCCAGCAGTAGGCTATTGGTTGGTGGGAAGGTGCACTCCTCCGTGCTCCCTTCGTAGATGGCGAGCAACATTATCTAGGTAGGCCATTAAGCTTATTTTTTAACGAGTCTCTTCCCGTCACCATCTTCAACATTGGACTTCATAATCTCCTCCTGGCGCCATTCCTCTCCCGAGTGTCATCAGCCATCGTCCCGGGAAGCGACAGGGTAAAAGACAAAGGGAGCCTATCGGCGAGCGATCGCAACCAAGCCTCGTTTCCTACATTCTCAACATCACAAAAGATCCTCTCACATACCGCAACGATATCTGCGAAAATAGTCATCTTCTTTTCGATCGGGATGGCAGAAGACGATGCAGTGTTTACCAGATGTGCAATCGTGGCGGAGGACCTCAGGCCAGGTCGACTCCCCGAAAGGTACCTGATGGGAGACATGATATTGAGCATACTCTCCCCCCTGTGGGGTCAGCTCCGGGATTTATGCGTAGAAGTCCTTAACTGAGTGTATGGATGTTCTTAACCCTGGCTCGTTGATCATTTCGGGAACAGTGCTAATCGGGATGTTCCTCTTGATAGGAAAAAGAAGAGAGGAAGCATATACAATTAGTAAAACAAGACGGAAGTGGCAGATAGCATACTTCTCAGTAGGCTTAAAGACCAAAAATCCTGAACTCATCTTGTAGATACGCAAAAATAAAAGTTATAGCAGCCACAGTATGTCTAGCTCTTACACACCCTGTCCATGATATTCTGCTCAATTAGATACAAGAGCCTCGGAGATTGAGGAACAACCTGTTCCAGAGGAACACCTTGTTTCAGAGGAACAAAATTAAAAATGCCAGACAGCGAGCATGTTCGTAAGCTTCCATACGCCTCGATTTTGTTACCATGTTTCGCCCATTGGAACGCCGCGGTGATTATGTCCCCATTTTTCCAGGCGTCTAGGCTCAGTGAGGAGGTCTCTGCAACGGAAAGAACTGCAGAAAAAGTTCTGTTTTAAAATCTCCGGGATATGTATTTTCGAGTAGGCCAACCGTATTGGTCCATAATGTAACATATACAGAGCTAGTCAACACCTTGCCCACGTTGTCTCCTCCTAGTTATAAGTAGCTTCTCAAATCTCGCACTAGGCCAATCAAACAAAAAAATTCTTAAGCATTCTGGACTTTCACTTCTCTTCAACCTTAAATCCAGTCTGCTTTGGCTGAGTCCGAGACACTCTAGCTAGGGCTTAAGATGGGGGACCGCCGCCGCCACCTCCTCCGCCTCCACCAGAGTTAGGGTTTGTGACAGGACCTTCCTTGTATCGGAACACAGCAGGTTCAATATCCTGAGATCTGGAAGTGTCAATGCCAAATGCGATCCAAGCAAAGAGTCCGTCGCTGACATCGTCACCGAGAAGCGTAAACTCCATGACCGGGTCGACCCCATCAGTTCGCGTCTCCTCAGCCAGAATGGAATCAGCAGCGTTGGTGGTCAATTGCTGACGGTTAGTGGTATACGGGGACAGTAGCTCGACCTTGGTGATGAGGGACTGGTCGAAGAAAGTCTGGCCGACGTGGCTGGCCTTGATATCGTTACCGAGGGTGCCGTTGCTGTAGCGGGTGGCACCAGTGTGGACCATGACGTGGATATGAGTGGCACGGCTGGTGTAATGGCCTGGGAAGATGGACTCGAATTGGGCGACTCCATCCGAGTCCGTTTCCTGGATACCACGGAGCCAGGTGTTGTAGATGTTGGAAGTATCAGCGGAGTTGCCGTTTCCTTGAGCATTCACGCCTGAGTAGACTCCGGTGGAGTTGCAGTGCCACATCTCAAGATAGACATCTGGGACTGGGTCGCAAGTGTCGACATCGATGACTTGATAGTCAAGGATAGTATCAAGACCGGCTTGGGACTCAACAATGTTGACTCGAATGTCCTCTCCAGAGACATCTTGTGCCGCGAATTAGCAGTGTTTGGATCGAACTTTTATCACAAAACATTATCATCTGTGCTTACAGTAAGGGCCTTGAGTCACTTCAGGTGTCAAGATGCAAGAGTTGATGCCAGAGAAAAGCGTATCAGCAGGGGTGTCAGTTGTGTACCCCTTGGATGTCATATCATGGCTCTTGTTCAGAACATCATTGAGACTACGCTTCTTGCGGCGCCTCTGACGCTCTGCCTCGACAATAACCGAACGGCGCTCGTGGTTACGGGCGTTCAGGCCGCTCTCCTCCCACCTCTTGAAGCAGTGGCTGAGGGATCGCTTGCCGAGTTTGGAAAGTGCCTCGCGGCGCTCAAGAGCCTCAGCCCTGACGTCGTGGCCAGGATGGGCGCTGATGCCGCTCGCTAGGAGGGCAACTGCGAGGTTTTGAAAGCGCATGACAGAAGCGTTGACCGGAATAGTGTAAAACTTGGCTTGTGGGAAATGTACTAAGGAAAAGGCTAAGGAGAAGACAGCTATTAAAACTCGCGCGTTCATTCAGAGCTCTTTATACTTTTGGTCTCTGCTCTCCCCTTGAAAAGACTGCTTTACTCACCGATCTTTCCAGTCTACGCTTCTACGGTCCGAGCTTGATTGGAAGGTAGCATCGTTGCTTGAGTTGCAGGCGCATGAGGCCAGACACGATGGCCTCCAGAGCCAGCCGAGGATATCTGGAAATGGCCCCTGACACTGGAGCGATCTTGTCTAATTCGAATCGCATTGGCCTATCACGCAGCGCGTATTTCCAAGGAAGAAGGAAACGTTTGCCTAATCCCAGCCGCGGAGGGCATACAAAAGGCCCCTACATAAAGAGTCACATCGAGTTCCGACCCTGGAACATCAACCGGGGGTCCTGCAATCAAAAAGAGGCAATTTCTAAGCGTTGAAGTCATTAGAAGCTTTTTCACTCACGGGCTAAGAGCAACTTCCGATCATGTTCATGGGTTACTTACCGAACACAGCAAAGACTACCCCTGCAAGATCCGTGTTTCCTAGGGTGGGAAACGCGGAGGTCTTTAGGTCTCGGACCCAGAACCCCATTGAGGCAAGACGCGCGGCCTCTGAATAACCTCCAACACTCGTGGGTTCCATTGGCTGCATCTTTTGGGGATGTATTGCCAAGTTGGTCAGGTGAATTATACCCTCCCGCGTTCATAGTGTCTTCAAGATGCGGTTCGGGCAGAGCGGAAGGGGGTGCCAAGGTGCAACTTAAATTGATGACGATGGCGATTCAGTAACGCTCGAATCAACATGTGTAGTTTATGAACCATAAGTAGTTTCCGGCCTCTTTGTCGTGGCCGTTGTAATAGCACATCCCATACAACGACAGGGGTTGGTAAAGACAAGCTTCCAACGTTACATAGAGATAACAACCTTAGCGAGGGTTCCAGCAGGGCTGTTGAAGAGATTCTTGCTACTTCATTCGTTCCAACAGTTTCTTTTTGATCGCTCTGTTCCATCAGTCGCATTGGAGCTCCGGTATGAAAGCCAATCCTGTAACCTTCCGAGTCAGTCATTGTCTCAAAAGCAACTTCCTTTATCAACACCCGTTGATTGTGAGGCCTTGGAGGGAACTTCAACTTACGAGAGCTCACACCCAATCAATATTGTATATGCAGGGTCATGAAAGTATTCCTTCCGCTGGCTATGCGAGAATTCTGCCCCTCATCGGCCCGCCTCCCCCGTTGGTGGCTGAGAAGTCGACAAATACTCGATAGGCAATTATTAATCCAAGCTCCTACGCTTGCTTGTCATTTCTCCGGCGGGGTCGTTTCGGGATTCTCGTTGACTTTAGCGAGATTATCCAAGATTGGGTCTGAAGGGGCGGGTTGACGTGGCCTCGACAAGGATTGATGTTCGAGAGGGGCCAGGAGATCGTTGCAGATCCACGGCACGCCTGAATCAAGGAGGTGTAAATCACATGGGAGGGGAAAATAGTTGTTGCTCGAATCAACTGGGCTCCGAGAGAATCGATGTCGAGGGGTGTGAGTGTTCTCCATGCTTCAACTCGGCGGCAGTTCGCGGACAAAGGAATTCCGTTCAAAACAAAGGCATGTGGTCTAAAAGACGGAATCCAAAAACTGCCAAAGCCAATCAGATTGGATCTCGATGCCCTAGCTTGAGTCTTTGGGCATGAGCCGTTCTTCGATGGGATGAGTGGAGGCGATCCGGCGAGATCAAAAGCGAGGATAACCCTGATAACCATGATCGGAACAAACACAATATCGAGTCGTTAATACCAAGGATGGGCTAAAGATGGGATTTTCAAACAGAGGAGAGAATCAAAGAGGCATGACAACGTCGGATGACGGAAGTTGCCGAGGTACCTACCTACTACCTACCTAGCCATAGATGGGAGCAGGCGCAGGGGAGAGGAAGGAACGAAGGAGGCAGAGCGACTCGGACAGATGCACGTGACTAAGGCGGTTCAATGACGGGATGGGTCGAAGCGAACAACAAACATGTATAGCAGAAGCCTTATGTCACTGTTTCCAACTAAGAGTTCTTGGAAAAGATGACTAGATTCAACGATAATGGCCGAAGCGATATTAAAAGATGGGGGCTCGGGACATGGCAGTTTAGTTGGGTCGGGACGAAAGGCTGAAAATCACACGACAGCTAGGACAAAATACAATGGAATCAATTGAGGAGCATTTCGGCTGGAATTTGGTTGTAATGATGTTAGATTCTTCTCTCGAAAAGATTTTTTTGGGGCTTGTTGAACGAATCAAGTGTTCACACCATCATTAAAGAGCGACAATCGGCACGAACATGGGAAATCATCGAGTTGTTAATATATCACTGTCTATATTCATCCATTCATTATATGAAAATTATCTGTGATGCATCTGGCACCATGTCTCTTCAAATCATCATGCGGGGTGAGACGGCCCGCTCCTGCAAATGAAGGTTGTTCCTAAGAATATCATCCGCCTCCCTGTCCACGACATCGTCCGGAAGTTCCCAACCGGCGAAGCTAGGGTAGGGGCTCCTGGGGTACTGGACCTTCTCTCCATCGGCGCCCTCGACCAGGAGCTTCCTGTTAAGGATGTCATCGGCCTCCTGGTCGATGACGATGGTCGAGGTCCTCTTGACGAAGTTGGCGGCCTGGGAGATGCCCGGGAAGTCGGAGAAGTCAATCCCCTTCCACTTGCGGGCCTTAAGGCCACGGTCCTGGAGGTTCCTGTGCACGGCCTCCTCGGTCGCGTCGGCGGGAACCTCGCGCGGGGAGGGCGCGGGCGCTGCGGCAATGGCCGACAGAGCAGCCAGGCCGGGGAAGTGCGTCATGTCAAAGACCTTCCACTTGCTGGGCTTGGCGTCGTCCTCTGGGAGAACGGGGGCGGCGGCCTCCATCTCGTCCTCCTCCTTGATGGTGTCCTCGCTATCAAAGAAAGTGGTGGTTTTCCAGTGGGCGGTGGCTGGAGTGTTGAGAGGAACGCTGAATCGAGGAGCGAAGGCCGTGATAGGGGTGGCGATGGGACTGCAGAGGCCGTACTGCTCCCTCAGGGGAGACATGATGGGCGTCCCATGGGGGCTGGCGAAGCGCGCACTGGTGGCAGTGGGAGGGCTCGCGGCAAGCACAAATTCAGATGCCGCGGTGAGCAGCAGAGCTGTGGGAATGGGGCCTCTCTTAGCACTAAGCATTTTGAATTAGTTTTAAAGGGGGGAGTATTGATCCTGCAACACTCTGTAATAATATAAAAGGGTAAGTTTGAACAATGGAAGAGAAGATGCTTAGTGTGTTGAGACCAGCTCAAGAGGTTTGAAGTGCAGACTAGTGATGGTTGTGTGTGATGGAAGGGAAGGATCTGGGGACGAGAGCATCGGCTGGCTTCCTTATATGTGAAGCGAAGACTTGCTGGCTGTTGCCACTGAGCTGGCGCAGGGCAACGTGCTGGTCAGCACAATGGGAGGACAGGCGCGCATCAATGACAGGGCATGTCGAGCACAGGCAAACACGCCCGCACAACGGGAGGCCTTCATTCGCTGTTGTGTGAGCGCTGACGGCGAGGTTCTGGGGGGCCATGGCAGCATCAGCCAGAGTGCCCACTCTAGTGCTTCGGCTGGTGGCAAGCAGAGACAGAAACAATTGAAAACACTATCAACAGACAATCAGCGGCAACGGCCCCCAGCTGCCGGGCTTGGGTCCTCGCCACGCCTGTCATGCCCACCGCCTGTCTGTCTTGTTTTTGGCCGCTGCCCAGGGATGATTGGCTCGTGCATCGTCAAGGCCGAGGACACAGCTACCGCAACGGCACAGCGACCGTCTTCTGTACACGCTTCGAGGCAAGTGGCGTGGGCTCTTGCAAGCAGCATCGCCGACAGCAGACGGAGGAGACAGCCAGCAAACGAGATGCCATTGGGTGAGAGCTCGCCCCATGCACATATGTCAGCAAGGGTGGATATAGCACAACAAATTTGATTGGCAATGAAATCATCTCTCGTCAGAGCAAATTCGAAACGCGTTTCAGCTGTGTCTACAGTTTGCCCCTGCCCCCATCAAGGCCAATTGATCCCCAAGGCGCTGCTCAGCTTGCTTGCCTCAGATGCTGTTTCGTGATGGCTATCAGATCTGCGACCGTGCCGTGCTGCTACTCTTACAGTACTGCCTCAATCAGGCCAACGAGCGCTGTCTGGTTCGAGCCCTTGATCTCGTCCACCTTGTCGCCGCCCACGTAGAGCTGGAACGTAGGCATCGCAGTCACGCCGCGGTGCTCGGACAGCTGCGGCAGCTCGCCAGCGTCGACTCTGAAAAAAGATACGGCGTGGAATTTTTCCCAGTCAGAGCAGCTGCCGTCGTCAGCAATCATGATGCATAGATTACCTTTGGTGTAGTGGATTTTGTAGGGTTGCACGCAGCGCAACAAAGGTGACGTACTGGGCAAAGACGGAGGCAATTGCTCTGCACGATCCTGATGTTGAGGAGTAGAATTCGATAACCGCCACACGATTCTCCACCAGAAGATTATCGAACGCGTCTTCGCTGCAGATGAACGATTAGATCAAGCGATCGGGTACATGTTTTTTACGCCTCCCCTCCATCTTTCCCTCCATTAGACAAGGCGTACCTCGTGATGTTGCGTACTGGCATGATGGTCTAGGGTAGATGGGTAAAATGGTGGTTAAAGAGGAACCAGACTTCGGGAACGTGAGGACTTGGTAGAGAGGGTTCCAGCTCGCATATTTCATCATTTTTCTCAGCTGCAATACCAATGGACTAACGCTCGCTTGGCTTCCCAGCCGTAAACTCTCCCGCCATGTGATGCTATCACCTGGACTTGGAGTCCGCCATGACGCAATCTTCACATCACCAACGCGCCGTTTGGCGTGAACGAACACCTCCAATTGATTAACGCGCCAGTTGGTTTGGCGGGGCCGGGCCGTTGTCACGTGCCAACCGATGCAATTCCCATTGACAGCTTCATTTGCATCGAGTCATGTTGTCAATGAGAGCACTTCTGGACTGGACCCTGGAACAACCCTGGGGGGCAGCCAGTCCGAGTCAGAGTCACTGAGGCGGAAGTGCACCACCACCAACTGTGACCTGCTGCACCGATCGCGTCTCGCACAGCAGCCCCACTTTAGTTGTTGGCGTCAATTGCTAGATGCGCGCACACATCGGTGCTGACCTCAAAAATGATATTGGATGGTGGGCAAAACTAGATGTAGTGTTTTTTGCGAAGAGGATGAGAGAAACTATCAGCCTGATGTAAATCTAGATGGTAACTGGAGAGCAGGCGCTGGAGAATCCAGTTGGGAGCAAGGCCAATTCGATGTCCGTGGTGGAAAGAGCTTTCGGTTGCTACGATGTAGATGGCGGCTGCATCCGTTTTCCGGCAACGCATAAAAAATCAGGTACAAGTGCCCCTTTATTGCAGACAACTGAATCTATTGCGGAAACGCTTAAATATTCCAGGCGTTGCGTTATCGAGAGGGTACCTGGGATGAGTGGAAGCCAGTGCCTGGACACAACGGCAGTGTGCGCCAGACGTTGGCGACATTGGCTAACAGCGGTGGCACAGCAGTATCTTGGCTGAGTTACAGCACATGCCCCTCCAAAGTTCCCCTTGTAAACCTACCTACCTAATGCAACAGACGATCAACAACAGCACCATTAAACAATATGGCGCTACCATTGTTGATGCCTCGCCGTCAGCCTGCCCGAATCAATCCTATTGAAGACGCGGGCAACAATAGGTACTGTTTTTTCTTTTTCTTTTTTTTCAATCGGTGTTGCGTTCTGCCTGCAAGGTTCCGACGTGATCGCATCACTCGACGATTATTTCACCTGCGCTGACTTGACTCCCCAGCGGCTACTTTAATCGGCACTCCGATTCTCATCCTTCTTTTTACGAGACCCGTATACTTCATCGAATCGAGAAAATGCAGCCTCTCCGTGTTTGGCTTGCCCGTAAGTCCCTGCCCCCTGACCAGACACGTTTCTATTCTAAACCCGCACTGCAGCTCTTGGGCCGAATCCTTGGAAGGTATGCGCTGCCTTAAATCGCCGAGAAAGCTGACTCTTTTCTCTTGCTTATCCGCCGTGTTCTCTAGGTCATAACCGTCCTTGAGGAACTTGCCGTGCCGTACGAAGTTGAGTCGGTTCGCTTTGAGAACATTAAGAAACTTCCATTTACGGACCTCAACCCCAACGGCCGTGTTCCAGGTATACTTGAAGAAGTAATTGATAGAGCATGGGATATATCTAACACGCCTGCAGCCATCGAGGACCCCAACACCGGCATCAAGGTCTGGGAGACTGGAGCCATTATTCTCTACCTGATCGACAAATACGATACCAACAACCAGCTGCATTATGGTTCTCTGGACAAGGAAATTCTTTGCAAGCAGTGGCTCATATTCCAAGTCGGTGGACAGGGTCCGTACTTCGGACAGTGCACCTGGTGAGAGACATCTGGAACCCATGCAAATATTGTGATGCTCATCCATTTATAGCTTTACTTACCTACACCCCGAGAAGCTCTCCTCCGCAATTGAGAGTTATTCGAAAGAGGCCAAGCGTGTCCTTGGAGTCTTGGATGGAGTACTGGGAGCTCAACCCGATAAGGAGTGGCTGGTCGGGGATCGCATCACATACGCTGATCTCGCTTTCGTTCCTTGGAACGACCGACTGGACGCCACGCTTGGAGTCCCCAGCGATAAAAAGTTCGAAGGCTTCCCTAACGTCAAGGAATGGCATGAGCGTATGACCAAGCGACCTTCCTGGGTCAAGGCCATGAAACTTAGGGCCCGTCTGATGGACGAGCAAGGTCTAGACTGGAATGGTATGCCTAAGGGTACTGCAAACTTCCAGGAGTATCAGGAAAGTATTGCCAAGGGCGAGGCTTAAGGAATAGATGGATATCTAGTACGATCTGTTGGCGATGTCGCTCGACCCCCGACTAGTTTTAGATCCTTTGCACCCAAATATGCCGAAGGTTCACGCAGGGCGGCTGAACTACTGACGGTGCAATATCTTCAGTGTTCTATTTGCTATGTAATCAGTCTAATGAGTTCTTCAGCTCCCACTCGCATGCTTGGTGAGACCTCCAAGCACAGCCGTCTATATCTTGATGAATTTCCACGTGGTCCTCCCGTTCTGCCTGACCTCAAGTCCCTTACCGTCCGCCGAAGTCGTGACCACATTCAGCCTGAAAGGTGTATGCGGGGAAAGAAGCAAATTACCGCCTTCTGGATGCGGCCGTAGAGTGAACAACTCCCACTGCTCAAGCACCGTTGACGAGGCGCGGACGCCACTGATCCCGCCCCCTTCCCAGCTGCCATCGTGGCCCATGAACCGCCCCGACGCGGGGTTCTGGAAGCCTAGATAGCCATCCTTCTCGACGCAGAGCCAGTGTTTCTTTGCGGCGAAACCCTCGCCGGGCGCCTGGAGCAGGAGGCGATCGCCGCCGACAAGTGCCCCTGGCACGCTGATGGCGCGGCCGCTCGAGCTCTCTATGATGAGGTAGGTCCTTCCATGCTCCGGCGCTGAGCCAACCCCGTCGCCTAGAACGGAATCGCTGACTGTGGGGGTACTTGACCCGAAGCTCGAGGAGAACTTTTCGTTGAGGCTTGAGCTGCCGTCGCTCAGAGTGGACATTTTGCTGATGTAGCTCGTGAGGCTCGAGGGTGCGATGGAATTCTTTCTCGTTTGGAATTTTTGAACGGAAATGGGTTTGGCAAAATACGAAATGGATTCGGATCGCTTTTCTATGAGGAGGTGGACAGCCTGCTGACGTTTCATCAGCCGATCAGCACTGCCACATGATCAGGGAGGTCAGTCACGCAGATCGGCATATCGTCTATGAGGAGGCCGGATAATGCAGCTCTCTTGATGCCATATCTCGGATGATAGCATTGTGCTGGAAGATTGCATCGAAAGCTGCATTTAAACCCGAGCGCAAAATGATGGTTGGCGACTTGCCAAGTTCATGTTGTGAGTGGTGTCGGTTGCGGGGGGCTCCAGGGCCAGCCTCAAAGGGACAGATCTGATAAGCGAGAGTTGAGATGAACCTTTGGACTAGCCTTCATCTTGACAAGAGGTAGAAAAAAGGGGGGGCACCTAAAAAAAACGCTGGCTGACTTTCAGGGCCTTGTTTGGCATAAAGGGAAGGTTCTAGCTAACTGCATGCCATCTGTGTGAATGGATGGTGTGAATGTCATTTCATAACGGCAGTTGCGATGCACTTGCACACTGCAATGCACTGGCAAGTGGGCCTTCGCTCTTGCCTGTCCCCTGTCCCCTGACCACGACATTAATCATCACTGGCAGCTGCTGATTCAACATCACTCATCGCACACCAAACCAACCGAATGACGATCGAAATTCTTTCCTCTGTCTTTGAAGTTAGCCCAAGGGCGATTTCTGGTTTTTGGACGGGGTTGCTGCCGGGGCAAAAACGTTCAACGACAAGTGTTCATCGCTCGATTAGAAACATCTTCTTCGCCCTTGCACCGGAAACACCCCGTTTGCCGGACATTCACATCGGGTCCCGAGATGCCGGAAGAATGACGGTGCATACTGGAAATATGCAAGTTCCAACCTTTTCGGCGCAGGATGGGCGGATGAAATCTGTCACTAGTCCTTGTCGGGCAAGGTGTGTGATTACCGACCATGATTTTGAACGTTGGTGATTGCTTCGTCATCCGCGCCGGGCCGAACTACAGAATGTTACTCTAGGAGTCTAGGAACTGGGAGTTGGGTGCCCCCCCCCGGTTGCACTGACGGATCCGTTTATATTTAAGAATTTCCCAGGTATTTCAAACGCCGCCCCTCGAACGTCTTGATCTTTGTCTTTTCTCGCTTTAGCCGTTCGCGTCTCCCCGTCCGATGCATTGCTAACAGGGCCAGTCTCATCTAATCCGGAAGACAGAAACTACCCGCACCCGCACCATGGCACAAGACGATATTGAGAGCCGCCTCACAGGCGGAGAAGAGGCCGCCGATGTAGCCAGCACCGTCTTCACTCCCATACGACTGGAAAGAGAACGTACCGCGGTGGGACTTTCGAGAACCGCGACAACTGAAGCACTGGCTCACTCTTGGTCCCAAAACGGATACAGCTGTGATCCTGTACTCGACCCTGACGAGAGTTCAGAAGACGACGGGCCAGAGAAGAACAGTTTCGTGGTGGGCTGGGACCAGGGGAGTCAGGATCCTTTATGTCCACGTAGATTCAATACTATGAGGAAATGGATTATCGTTTCGATTGTTTCCATGGCCAGCCTTTGCGTGTAAGTCGCACCTCCTTTATTCAATATTTCTGGTAATTAGATTGGGATTTCAAGGGCCTGCACCACATGAAGCATCTGTTGGTTTGGATAACTAAACAAACCCTTTCACAGCACGAGTGCGAGCTCCATCTACGGGTCGACGTACGCGCAAATGGAAGCAGAGTTCGGCAACTCTCGCATTGTCTCCACCCTTGGCCTGTCAATGTTTGTGCTTGGGATCAGCCTGGGCCCGATGCTCTTGAGTCCCCTGAGCGAGTTTTACGGACGAAGGCCCATATATCTTGTCTCCTGGACAATGTACATCATCTGGCTTATCCCGCAGGCCGTTGCCAAAAATATCCCTACTATAATTGTCGGTCGCTTTTTCGATGGATTGTCAGGGAGCGCGTTCCTGGCAGTGTCCGCTGGTACGGTTGGGGATCTGTTTAATCGAGACGGACTTCAGGGGCCGATGCTAATGTTTTCATTGGCACCTTTCGTTGGACCCGCGATTGGCCCTGTTATGGGTGGGTTCATCAACTATTTCACAGACTGGAGATGGACCTACTATGTGCTGCTGATCTGGTCCTTCGTTATCTGGCTCTGTATCGTCTTTCTCGTGCCAGAAACTCATCGTAAGTTGCGAGGATCCATTCACGCTATGTCTGATTTTCGATTTTCTGACCGGGTGCTGTTCAATATAGATTCTCTTATCCTCAAAAGCAAAGCCATACAGAAGCGAAAAGAAACATCTGACGATCGATGGAAAGCACCCATGGAGATGTCCGATAAATCAGTTGCCAGCGCTATCGGCCACTCGCTTCTCCGCCCATTCGAGCTCTTGATCTTTGAGCCCATGTGCCTGAACCTGTGCCTCTTCTCTGCTATTCTGCTTGGCATTCTCTATCTCTTCTTCGGTGCCTTCCCCTTGGTCTTCCGGGGCGTATACGGGTTCAACCTCTGGCAGAGTGGCCTGACCTTTTTGGGTATTCTAGTTGGCATGCTCTTCGCAGCTGGTTTCGATCCTATTTTCGGACGTATCCGCTTGAATCTTGTTAAGAATCTGAGCGCCGAGACAGGCATCGAGGGGTCGAGTGAGCCCGAGTTTCGATTACCCTCCGCGATTGCGGGATCTGTGCTAGTTCCCGCGGGTATCTTCATGTTTGGTTGGTCTTGCTTCCCCTGGGTGCACTGGATTGTTCCAGTAATCGGATCGGGGATATTTGGAGCCGGGTAAGTTTCAACATTCCTTCAACTCTAAGACATGCTCCAGGACTGGTTCTAATTGGTGTGGTTCCTAGGGTTGTGCTCGTGTTTAATGGCATATTTACGTTTCTGGTAAGTGGGCACGCTTCTGCTATCTCCTGAGAAATATACAGGATATGGTCTAACCGTACCGGCAGGTTGATGCATACCCTCAATCTGCTGCAAGCGCACTCGCTGCAAACGCTTTCGTTCGCTGCGCATTCGCAGGTGAGTACTCCTTGGCATCTATCGCGCCATGCTAGACAAGGAGTTGGGGAAGCCCAGAAGTTCATCAACTCGTGCTAAACATTTGCAGCTGCGTTTCCCTTGTTTGGAGTCCAGATGTACAACAAACTCAACTACCACTGGGCGTCATCACTACTTGCCTTTTTGACCGTCGCTATGATGCCATTTCCATATCTATTCTTCAAATTCGGAAAGAAAATCCGAGCTAAAAGCAGATTTGCAACATCATGAAGGTCCGAACAACGATAAATGGCCAGTTTCTTACAGCTACCAACAGTTTCTGCTGCCTGATCTGGCATTGGTATCGAGAGAACTAAACTTCATTAAGATCCTCAGTATCCAGACGATGCAATCCATTGTTAGGGCTACCTTGCGACATCTCCTGGCACAATAGACCGGATAACATGGCTTTCTTCCATCAAACGGCCAATTCATTACACTAGGAGTAGACTCAAATACAGAAAAAGGCGGCAACATCTTTTCCTGAGTGGTGTCCCCTACCTGAGCCGAGCGAAACCACATAGTATACCCTTCTGGGACCATACCTACCGTCTGGCAACTCTGTGAAGCGTTTATCAGAGCCAAGCAATTGGCCTTACCAGATTCTGCACCCTTGTAAGCCTCCCGAGAACAGAATGCGCGAGTAGCTGGCTAGGACCCGTATCCTGATGGGCTGACAGTGACAGTAGTATTCTGAAAAGGCAAGGGAAGCCCCATCTCGTATTTATGTGCCGACACACAACATCGTATTTGTGTCAATAGAAGTATCTACCGAACTGCAGAACGACTTGACAGGATACATTGACCTACGAATATGCCTACACCCAATGTTGTGGTGGTTATGCAGGGGTATCAGACCGATGATTGGCTGCTCCTTCATCAATGGCAAGGCATTTTCCTACTGAATCCTACTTGGTCCAACCCCGGTTCGCGCCAACTCATGCTTGGAAGCTAGCGCAAGCAACTGGTTCTTTTTGTCTAGTTGACGGACTGTTAAGAGAGTCCCCCTTCACCCAGGCTGTGTATGTTGTGATTCCCAGACACAGTCTTCGAAATTAACACTAATTACAATGTCTTTGACAGAATCAACGCAGCCAACTGCAGAGTCACCGTCGAATGCCTTGACGACGCCTTTTCAACAACCGAGAGGCTGCGGGAACGAGTTTCTAGTGACCACGAACTTCACCAGCATCTACAGGACCAACAGCACAACGACAAGCTCAGTTTATACTGTCATCGCCTCTGGTCCTGGAGCCTCAGGGTTCGCGGCCTGCCAACCGTCACAATGGGATGAGACAAACACACGGTTTTCGTTTAGCCCCGGTGTTTGCCCCAGCGCGTGGACTGTCTGGCAGATCTCGCAGTATGCCAATGGAACCTGGACAGCCCAGTGTTGCTCGAGGTCTGTATATCAAACCTGCCCTCTGTGTCTCTAATTCTATGATGAGAGCTTAGCTAACCATCGTGGATCCCTAGAAACTTCCATCCTCTCTCCAACACCTGGAACATCGAGGGAATTCCCAACGACGCCTGTGCGAGCATCGTGACGAATAACATAACCACATCTTACACCACGTCTACCAACACCGTCACGGTCGGAACGGTGATTCACACAAACACCTACACATTCAGCCCCAGCTCTGGAACCACTACCACGTGGATTCACAATGCCTGGCATATTTCATGGGACCCGATAGACGTTGTGAGCCTCATTCCCTCTCCACCGACGCCTAGATGTTCAACATCGGGCATCCGGCGCTGGGTACCTGGGGAGAGCCTCGGAAACAACAGCTCGGTACTCGGCTCTGAGTGCCAGAAGCAGGAGTCGGGCAACGCCGCGGGCTGGGCACTCTACATTTTCCTGGTAGCTGGCTTGCCCACCATCTTCGGCTTGGCCCTCATTGGCTGCTGTGTCTGCGCTATTCGAAGCAACAGCACAAAGAGAAGACGCCAAAGGGAGAGAGTGGCCGAGGCTAATCTGGCATCAAGCCAAGCAAGGGAAGCCAGCCAGAATCAAGGGAAGACCCAGCCGGCGGTTCAAGAGACTATTCCACTCGAAACCGTGGGGCAGAAATGAAAGCTGGATCTGCAGCAATCATAGCTGCGGAGTACCACGGGGTTGTCCGTTTCTTCTCATTCCCGTGAACTATAGTTGCCGGATAGAATGTGTCATGTGAGCGAATGAAAACCCGAGATCAGTTGCTCTATACGGGGACGGGATAACATACCTCGTGGACTGGGAGTGTGTGTAGGGCCCTGGGCATCTCAAAAACGCCTGGCTCCGACAACTGCTCGAACTGACTAAAGTGGAACGAACTTTTGGATGCAACATGGTATTCTCACCGCCGTCGTCCTAGAAAGATCCCGAGGGGATTTTTATTGGTATTCATAATGATGGGAACGCAGGTGGCTTTGTATGGGATCCGATGCGATTGAATGGTGCCACTATCCGGAGGGCTAAGCGTGTAAGGCGTACTTGGACACGGCTCAAAGGCTATGGGTATACGCCAGCTGGCCAGAATTTTGAATATTTCCTCAAACAGCAACACTCTTATAAGGGGCCCGACCTCTGAAAATCCTACTGTGAGAGTAATAGGCGTTTTAATATGTGTAGGAGTGGGAGTAGGAGTTACCCTGCTCCGCAGAGTAGTAGCCATTCAGAAAATCCCCCCCCATCCCACGAAAAAGAATGACATAAGAAACGCGACCATGTAGTTGACTATGAATGGTACGCCGAATAGAGTTGCTTTACTCCTCGAGGTCGTTCCCGACACCAGGGCCAAGGTTGCCCCAAGGCACGATCCAGGGGCAGCGAACCATGCAACGGAAGAAAGAAAAATGGGTACAAAGACTGCACAAACAAGGAGAAACACTGCTGCTCTCTTGAAGGTGTTGGCGCTGGCTTTTACTGAGGCCAATATCGCGGTGCTTATGGCGAAGATACATTTGACTGCGAAGCTAGCTTTGACAAAAGGCTTCCTGTACCAGACGAAATAATCGAGGACATCGAGACAAATTGCCAAGATGCCCCAGAATAGAGACAAAAGGAGCCATTTCTGTCGAACTATCCCTTGTCGTAAGCTGTAGGAGCCTTGCGGGAGGGGAAGTCCCGTGACTGAGCCGCCCTGTAAAAGTTTCTCGATTTCGTGTCCAAGCTGCTGGTCGTCTATCGTTAGATACTCAACCCCAGCGGCTTTCAATTGCCCGCCAAGCACTTCTGTAAACTCGAGGAGACCTTTCCAATTGTTATAAATGGCCGCGAAGCCGTTGATTTTGAGCGTCAAATGGCTCTTTACCCAGACGAGGCTCATCCCAATAGTCCACAGCGAGAGAAGAATGACGTTGATGAACAACTGGAGAAATGAAAACCCCCACTGGTATCTCTGATAAATCGCTTTATTAGTTCAAAAATTTGGGGAAACGCGCTCACGATTGAGTACCTACATTCTGAATGGGCTGGCAGGTGCCATTCTTTTGGATTGTTGCCATGTCGTAGGCTCCATTTGAAAGTGAGTATGTCATCAAAGATTTATCGGTGAACAGAGGGTCATGTCTGTCTTTAGAGGCCCAGATACCTTCGGCGTGGTTCGGACGGAAAACGACCCAAGGAAGATAAAATGCTGTTATGTTGAGCGGCGGACCCTGGAGGGTTTCTTTCCCCCAAGTTGTGTCATTTTGGCCCCTTTGGATTGCGCTTCCTGCCATGTTGGAAAGACCATATGATAAAACATCTATGAGATACAATCAGTAAACTCTCACAGAGTCCGAATCAAATCAGAACGTCTTACAAGCGGTAGTATTGCCTATCAAACCACCGTGTGAAGTGGGATCTTGTATGCTGTTGTAGCCGTGGCTTGTGCTGGGAAGGTAGGTTTCGCGTTGTACAACCAAACCTCTGGCTGCTATTTTCTTCTTCAGTTTATGCTCTTGGAGACCTGATAATAATGGAATTACCTTCATCATAAGGGACGTGTTGATTCTCAGTCAGGCCAACCCGTCCGCCATCGTGGATGATGAATGCTAGTGGGAAAGCTTGCGAATAGCTGTCAAGGCCCTTCTCTCCTAAATCAACCCATGCTTGATTTGCGGTCGTATATCCGGCCAGGGAACTCATTAAAGTGGGAAACGCAACAACGAAGAGTGCCGCGGTAATAAGAAACCACATTTTCAAGACCGAAGCGAGCCCCCGTCCCAGGAAGAACTGTCTCGCCAGTCGCAAAGTAGATACTGTTGACGGTTCGGTATAAAATCTCAAAAGCCACACTGTGGTATAGGACGCAGGCTTTGTGGCAATGGAGACTGACAAGTATTCGATCCAAATTCTTGTCGATGCTATCGCAAGAAGTGCTTGTCCTCCTCGGCCGACTATCTGAGCGGAATGACTGTTAGTTCTCTTCACCAACGTGCATATACTTGACTCGCTCTTGCAACAAGGGAGCCGGTCTGGCAAAGAGTACGAACTAGATTCCAAAAAATATCGACAGCCTTGGCTGAATCAAAGGATAAAGTTCCTATCCTCAATGTGATCTGAAAGAGCCCATTTGGTGACCACCAATCGAAAGTGTCCGCGATTGCGTTGAATTCTCCATTGGGGTGACAGGGGCTGTCTTCTTTGGAAGCACTTGAGCCAATCGACACCAGAAGCAACCAGATGACCAGCATGATGAGGCAATATGCTAAGATGGCGAAGAGATACATGAGACCCTCGCGCTGCCATTTCATGGATCGCAAGTCATTCCATGCTTCCTTGAATGGCCTGGCACATTTTTGACGCCACGAGATTTGTGGTTTTTCGACGAGTGTTTCCTGGACGTCGGATTTGCTGTCGTCATGTTCATGCGTAGCCATAGCGGCCAATCGAACACTAAGCGTGGCCAGGTAATGTAGCGGAATTAAGTTTGATGGATGGAGCCGATCAACATCGTCGATGAATGCTGGAATTTTGTAGACCAAGACCGAAAAGATACTGGCACTTGGAATATTAATAGAGGAAGACGGGCTGATCCACGTGGAGTGGGAGGCTCTTGGCATCGGCCGAGAAGGGGTTGTGATTGGCCTAGTCAGCTTACTTGGGGTCTTTCGATGGTGCCGTGCCTGTTCTGTTGGAACTTCGGTTTTTGATTCCACTCGACATTGTCATTATGCAGTCAGCGCGTCGACGACAGCCCCTTGTCGGCTGCAGCATGTGAAACGCTAAGCTGGTACGAGATCATCAAGCCCCGTATTGCACCGAAGAACTTCAGTGTTTAGCCTGATGGCTAACTCATAGTAGTTATCTCAAATGACCAAGGCTAGAGGCGGTGGATGCTCAAATGAGCCATGCCAATAAGAACTTCTTGACCTCATTATCCGTTAGGCTTTGTCTGAGGTCGCGGGTGTGGGGCAAGGTTAATAGGCAGGTCAGGGGTTGATGTAGGTGAGTTGTTTGGTTTTCGGGTAAATGCAATAAAATGCCTAGAATTCTGGGCACAAAAATGGTGCGTAAGGCTGTTCTCAGGCTTTATTCACCTGATGGTTGACAACGTGATCGCCTATCGCGTAGGTGCTGCGCCACATTGGCGAATCGCCCCCCGTTATGCCTTGCCAGCAGCTCAATATTACTAGCAGTCGAACGGATATATAAGAGGCATTGAGCTGGGCAGCAAAGTTTTAACTTGAAATCAGAGGGCCGACCCAGTTCAAAGCCGTTGCTCGTATGTGAATGATCATCTGCAGTCTAACAATTTTCCTCGTCGCTTCCTGAGAAAATAGCGCCATGGCGGACACTATTTTGATGAAAGTACCTCCAGAAATCCTCGATGGAATACTGGACAAGGTTTGGGACCTAAAACCTCACCGTCTTTGGGCTTGGAACTGACTGAGAGACGGAGAATAGCTGTCGAAACGTGACCTGAAAGTTCTGACCCAGGTATCCAGACAATTACACAGATTTCTCTTCGATAAACTCTGGAGGTCGGTGACTATATCGCCGGTCGACGAATACTACCAGCAACGCACACCAATGCAATTGTTGCCGGAGAGATGCCTCGAGAATGCACAAGAGCTCCATTTCAAGGCAAATTTTCAATACCCAACAACCAACAGGTGTCTCCATGGACACAAGGAAAGTGATGAATGGTACACTCGTGAAGGCCTGTATCAGGGAGCTCCGCGAACCGAAGTACTGGAAGGAGGCAGGGAACAGCCACCGCCGTTTGAATCTCTTTCGCGCAAAGCAGCCTCGGTACTTGATCAGGTCAAGCCAAACTCCCTAACCAGTTTCAGGTATGAGATGGACGATGGTGGATTGCGATCAGAATATTGTGCCGCAGAACAGCTGACCCAAGTGTGATTGCAGCTGGGATCTAGGAACGTGTATCCCGGCCGAGATTCTAGGCTCGAATGGGATTCTACCCCAAAAGCATCCGCAACTGCAGAGCCTCAGCGTGTCCGGTGACTTTTTATGCAACAGAGGCGTCAAGATTTCCGTCTCCGCATTCCGTAGCCTTCAAAGGCTAAGATGGAGAGCGCCAAACGGGAGGCAGGTGAATGCCTTGTCCGAAGCTATCGAGAATAATGCGAGCCATTTAAAAGAGCTCGAGATAGACTTTGCTCGCTGGAAGACACTCGAGAGCTCTATCCAGTACCCTTACGGAGGCTTGGGTGGCGGCATTTCGAGAAAGGTTTTCGGGGTCGGCTCCCAAGGCCTTTTAACAGCGTGCACCCAACTTGCGGGGATCCCAAGTCCACCGCAAGGCATCATATTTAAAGAAATCCGCTCACTGTCCCTCACAGAGGTCCCGCTCACGGCAGACCTGGCGCGGGCGATAAACTTTCAGACACTAGAGTCTCTCAAGCTCCGTACATGCCCGGACTGGTTTGATTTCCTCGATGCGATTGTTGAGGATAAGGTGGAGCTTAATCTGAAAGCATTTGAACTGACTGACGATCTTGGCGAATACCAGAAGACACAGGATGGATATTATGACGCCTGTGTTGCATCAATGGCGGCTTTCTTGGCTTCATTCAAGGGACTCGAGCAGCTTCATCTGGCCGCCTTTGGCCCCCGTGACACCGCTGCAGCGTGGCAGGGATATGCCCGCGATCATGGAGAATCATTGAAGAGCCTTGTGTTCCATGATCGATCTGCCAACTGGGACCGACAAAGTTATGGCAGCGGAGAAGTTTCTGACTACCCATATCTTCTGTCTCTGGGCCAGGTCAAGCTGTTTGAAGAGGATCCCTCTCAGAATCCTCTATCACTGTTCAACCTGAATTTCTTAGGCGTATGCTGTCGGACGGACTATTTGGTAAGTTTACTGGCTCCTTGGCTTCATTCCCCAATCTAACACAAGCTCAGAAAAGCCTACTTGCTGGTCTCAAAGAGCCCAATACTGTGAAGGTTCTTCATATCCGAGAGAGTAGTGCATACCTAGAGATGTATAAACACTCCAGGGCTGTGAACCAACTGGATCTGGAAAAGGCTCTGATTGTAAATCAGCAGGACATTGACAGTACGGACTTCAATGATATCCTGCGCCATGTGGTCACGCCAAAACGTCCCGTCAAACAGGAGGCCGAAGAAATCCAGCCGGAGTTTTTAGATTTGGTAGGATGGGCGTTTGGACCAGAGGGTATCAATTCTCTTGATGTCCTTGCATTTGGAGACTTCTCGCATGGTTGTCGAGAGCCTCAGAACAATCTGCTCTTCTCCCGAAACCGAACGGGTAATAAGTCGAGCTTTTCGCGTATTCATATGGATGATGAAGAATGGCACGATGTGCTGGACCAGTATGGGGATGCGATCAAGGCGTGCCCGACAGACAGGCTGTTACACACCCAAGAAACCCTGAACCAACGAATCCGCCCCTGGTGGTGAAATTCCAGCGAATAAAAGGGCGTGTCAAGAGCTGAGATGGTCTGGAGAGAAATACGACTGAGTCTCTCTTCCGTGTTCTCTTTTGACCAACCCGAGTAGCTAGCTTATGGAGTTTTTAGGCGAGAAGTGGATGAGAACGAAGGATCATTTGAGAATGAATCTGCCACTTTGTGCTTTGTCAACCAAGATATAAATGAAGTGACATTGAATTTTTCTTCGTGGTCTCGTTCAATAGCGTCGATCCGTGATAATTTGTGTTCGTTGACAAACAAGACGGTCGAGATAACGAAGTTGTGAACCTACAACGGGCGGCTTGGACATACTCATCAATCAGTCCTATCCCCTGGGTATCGTCTTTTCACGATCTGTGTCCACCCAACTTCGCAGACTGCTGGTATTCATTCTCTCGCTCCGGTCAAGGCGAGATAGGGCTCGGGTAAAGTCGTGCATATACTCAGTTGCACGCCGGGCAGGTGGTTCGTAGGCTTCAAAAGGGCAGTTGAGCAATGCCACGCCTACGTCGCGGACTTTGTAGGCCTAAATCAAGCAGAGAGTACAACCGCGATTGTTAGCGATCAAAATATTTCACTCTAGCGTGCTCGCAAAAGACCAGTGCGTATTGACTCACAAAATACAGACCATTCGGCTCGATGTGTGCGTGGGGCATGCTGTGTACTAAATGAAGCATTTGACGGCAAACGTCTTCGCGTTCCGACCAGCTCGCTTTCAGAGCCGCCAAGTGGCAGTCTCTCTCTGATTGTGACAGATCAGGTCTCTTCGACATATCCTGTAGAATGATATCGATTTGGTCCAAAAGGGCGCTTTGGAGCCAAAGATGTGTGCCGTGTAGGTTTGCCCTCATGATTTCAAACTGGCCCGGGAGTGAGTTCACATAATCCTCGTTCATATCGATAGCTTGATAACTGGCAGGAGGACTCTGCTGAAAACTGGCGGGAGATGCCATGGACACTTCGTCTGGGCGGAATAAATGCGACCGAGAGGCCTCATTCCAGGATGAAGATGCCCACTGCCGGATTTCAAGGGGGGCGTCATCGAGCATGTATCGCATCTCCTGCAGAAGTTGTCGTAGGTGTGATAACCTATCTTGGGGTTTAACTCGCCGTTCCCAGTCACACATGGCTGGCGTCAGAGCAATCTGCGCGCTCTTGTGAAACACCTTAGAGTGTAAGTTGAACCCAGCAGCTAAGTTGAACTTTGCGATCCTGGAGTGATATTGGTGCATGGACGCTGCAGGGGAAACAGCTGCAGGAGGGGAGATGGGAGATTCAAGGATTTTGTGCTCGAGAATCTGCTCATCGTCGAGTTCCAAGGGGATCAGAGCCTCGAAGTTTACCTCGGCCAGCATCCCATGGTCGAAGAAACCCAACCGTTCTTGCCGTCCACACTGATACCACGCATGGCTTTGGTCTAGAATGTTAGAAAGGTGCCGATCAAATCACTAAGACGGGAGCTTGGAGAATGCTTACGCATATGTGTAAAAGCACAACCAGAATGCCTTCTTCCGCAGCTGGGTTTCAATGCAATTGAGTCCCTCGTAGTCCGCAATGCGATGGATCCCAAGCAGCCGGCCGGTTTGCAAAGTTTCGACCTCCAGCATGCGGCTACGATTAGCCTGCCCAAGCTGGAAGCAGCCAACAGACATCATGTAGCTCATTGCCCACTTTTGGTGGCTGACTTGGTCCCAGTAGGTGGCCGTCCGCATGGACATGCACATGTCGATGGAGGCATTGACAACCGATTCCCGTGTCTGAAACTTGGATGAACTGCCGGAAACCATGGATTGGTAGTAAGGGAACCGGGAGGGTAGAAGACCGACCGCGACGACCACCAAGGAGAGAATCAAAGCGAGAAAGTCTGGGTCATCTACATCCTCGTTCTGGGCGAGCCGACGGCGGAAGGTTGGGCGGTGCACAACTGGGATGAGAGGGTAGATGCGGGCTAGATAGTCGTCTATGATGGCGAGAATCAGGCTTCGCGGGCCGATCTTGTCCGTTGCGAACCAAGGGCCACTGCTGAAAGTGTCGACTTGTCGAGGCGATGGCTCAATTTGATTGACATCTTCGGAGATTGGCTGAGCGTAAGTTGGATTTGGAGAATGGGACGAAAGCAGAGTCGTATCTTCTCCGTTTGGCTGAGCCCGCCATGGGGTTTCTTGAGCCCGGGACGAGTTTTGAATACGTCCTGGCGTAATAGACGAGCCGGTTTTTCTATGGATGGCAATTAGAAACCACCCGGCAATTTTGTTTGATGAAATATGAAAGGAAAATCTACCTTCGCTTGGGGCCTCTTGTTTGTGTTGGCTTGAGAAAGGTGCAGACGAGGTCGAGTCTGATGCACTCGCGACATCGTTCCTGCAGTGGGTTCGAGGCTGGCTGATTTTCGACGGCAGGCGCGTCCCCGAAAACGCAACGACGGCGCCGCACTCGGCAAAAGTCACATGCTCGCCTGGCAATTGTTGACTGCCGTCTACGAGTACTGCAATTGGGAAGGTGGCCGCCTTTCTCAGGGCTGCAGCTCCTGCTTGTTGTGGTGTCGGCCTCAGGCACCACTACCACTGCCACCGGGGATGAGGCCTCGTGAGACCTGCTGGAGCGTCGCATCAGATCACTGCCTTCCTGCACCTACTGTAGCAGTCAATGTCGAGGAGGAATGCGGGCAATTGGCGAGCAGGAGGAGAATTAAGCAGCGGAGAAAAGGGACCTCGCCATCCGCTGCGTGGAGAAAAACCTCATTCCCGCTAGCTCATCCATGTTTCCGCAGTCGAATCAGGCAAGGTGAACCGCTTCGTCACGACGACGGGGTAAAAGGACCGAATATGTCACTGTCAAAACCTGCTCCAATTTAACCCCGGATGATGGGCAATTCCCACGTTCCAAATAGCCTTAAAACCCATCCCGCATTGCCCTCTCCGCACCTCGTGGACGCAACACTGATGTGGAGATTCCAGAAGTAATCGAAAGGCTACTCATGATTTTAGGGCGGAGGTTACCGTATACTAGACATTCGTGTTTTGCTCAGTATCAGGTCCGGTTAGATGGCATGTCACTGTCAAACACAGCGGACATGGGAGCCAGTGAGCACCGTATAGTAGACAATATTATCACCATGGGTAGCCAGATTAACGAAGATATGATGGAGAACATTGCTTTATTCTACCCATTATGTGATTAATAACTTCAATTGTTGAACTCTGCGTCTATAACAAGATTGAGCGACATTGGCTGAGCACTTGAGAGGCCAACATTCGGATGGTTGTATACCGCCAAGCGGACAGTTTGGTTTGAGGGTGTTCGTTAAACAGATTAAGCCTTCTCACCACCGTCCCTTTCAGCGTTATCATCATGCTCAACAATGGCACCCATTTTCTCGCTCGCGATTGCCACAGCTGCCATGTCGTCGCCGTCGAAGATGACAGCCATCTGCTCTAGACTGTACCCGCGAGTTTCAGGGTAACAGAAGTACACGGTGACGAACATGACGACAAGCACAACGATGAAAACGAGGTAGTACTTCCACTGGATACTGTCGAGCGCGATGGGATTGACAAATGTGTTGAAGAAGATGGCGGCAATCGTCGAGACCCAGGTGACGGTAACACCGTGGGATCGAAGGGTGAACTGCCAGATCTCGCAAGGGTAGGCAGTCATGAATGGAGTTCTGAGAATATGTTAGATTGACTATTCATTTCAGCAGCAAAAGGATCATGCGGGACTCACAGGGCAATATCGTAGCCCAGGTAGAATGTAAACAAGAAGGGGATGACAGCAAGGCCAACGCTTGGTGACTCATTGCGAGCGAATGTTGCACTCAGACCTGTCACAATAACCATGCTCACGAGCATGATGCTCGCGGAAGAGAGGAACAGGACACGTCGGCCAAGTTTGTCAACACTGCATGCAGCAGCAACAGCCCAGATTAGGTTCCAGACATTCAGACAAGCAGAGATCAAGGTCTGCTCAGTGACAGTCCTGACGCCAATTGAGTTCAGAATGTTGGGAAGGTAATATGTGATCTGGAAACTTGTGAGCGATCTGTATGAGCCTCATTCCGGAGCAAAGGACTTGTACTCACAATTCCATTTCCAGCCCACTGTCCAAAGATACCGAGGGTAACAGAAATGAAGAGACGGTGGCGGTTTCCAGGGGTCTTGGTCATGTCGGCATAGGATGCACTGTTGGCGGCTTCCTTCTCAGCGTTAATGGTGGCTGCGATCTCGCGCATCTGATACACGACAAGATCGCTGTTCCGGTCACCTCCAGCATGGTACTTGGCCAGAATCTCAGCAGCCTCTTCATTTCGGCCGACGCTGATGAGCCAACGAGGGCTCTCGGGGCACATGAGGAAACCGGGAAGGGCGAGGAACGGCAGGACAACCTGCATGATGGCAGGAATACGCCAGCACCAGTCAGAGGCAATGTTGCGGCAGCCGAAAGTGACCCAGGCGCAGAGAGTGCCGCCGACATAGAAACCGCACATGAAGAAACTGGAAGCCACAGAGCGGTGGGTAGGGTAAGCGATTTCGTTGATCAGGAGGGGAGGGCCGTTGCCCAGCCATGCCGATGCAAAACCAAAGAACAGTCGGGCATAAGTAAAGGTGACCTCATTCTGGGCCGCGCCTTGCATGCCCACGCCCAGAATAAGAAATGCGTAGCCCAGAAAGATGCCAGGCTTACGTCCGTAGCGGTTGCTCACCCAGGCGGCACAGGGGAACGCGAGGCCGGTACCAAGCCAGTAGATGGAAGCAATCCATCCCAAGTAGGCTCCGCTGGGGTTGCCCATGAACTCATTCCACCGTGTAAGAGCCAGCAATGAACCCATGATGGAGCCGTCATATCCATTAGAAGATGCTAGCAATCCTTGTCAGCAGAATATTCTACCGTTGGAACCCAGACTGGCAACTCTGTCGGAACTTACAGAACATTACAAGAGACAGAACAATGTAGTTCAATTTAATGAGATGCCCGACCTTGTACCAAGGTCGGGTGTCCTTGGACAGTGTATCCAGAGGGTTCACAATCGCCGTCATTGTGATCAACTGTCCTTATTCCGGGCCTAGACAGATTTGGGGAAATTTTGAGGAGGGTGGTCCGAAGAGTTGGTGAAGATGTCGCAAGAACCTTGATGTAAAGCTGGGGCGACGAGGATCTATATACGAAGCTTGTCTGCGAACGGGTGTCCTCGGTTCTGATTCCGACATATGCGCCTCAGGGGAGCAGTTTTCTAGCCGAACTGGCGAATTCTTGCCGTATCACGAGGTCGTGAGCGTGGGGACCGGGGCTCCAGCCATTCACTAGGCTCTCAAGTCACGCAACTTGTCGCGGTTCCCCGTGGAGAGGAGTTCAGTTGCATTCAGTCTCCTCATTCTGGGGACGTTCAGCTTCCTACCCCTGGTTAATTTTTTTCATTAGTCCAGGTTTGGGTTGCTGGACAGCGGAGAAATGAGTCAGTCTTTACCGATGAGTGGAAAATTGGCACTTGGTCCCACCCATGTTAGCATCGTGACGAGGTAAAGTTGCCCATGTCACTGCGTATTTCTCCCCTTTATTCTCCTCTTCTCTGTCTCAACGACCCATAGTGGGTACAGAACAGGCGAGACCAAGCACAATCTGAAGCAAACATGGAATTAATAACAGGGTCAAGTGATGCTCAGACTCTTCATCAATGACAACTTGTGGCGCTGAGCGAGTTGAACTATCGACTGATCTGGCCGGCAAAATATCTCAATATTCTGGCTAGCGTCGTCAGATTACAGGAGAAAGACGCTCCTACATTTATCGAATATTCCCTCGGAAAAAAAAGGGCTGGGTGTGCAATCCAGTAAATTGACTGTGTTGTGTTGCAGAGATGGATGTTGAAGCACTCATTGATCAGCTAACGCTGGAAGAGAAGGTTGCTCTCACAGCCGGTAAGATTAGCCCATGATTCTTTGACCGATTCATCATTTGGAAGAGCTCACACAATTTACGCAGGAACGGGATGGTGGCACACAACTGCAATTGAACGCCTCAACATCCCCTCCATCCGCCTCTCGGACGGGCCAAACGGCGTGCGCGGCACACATTTCTTTGATAGCACGCCTTCAGCATGTCTCCCTTGCGGTACTGCCCTGGGTGCTACCTTTGACACCGAAATCGCAGAGCGCATTGGTCATTTGCTGTCCGACGAGGCCCATGCAAAAGGAGCACATGTTGTCCTCGGCCCAACTATCAACATCCAGCGCAGTCCCCTGGGTGGAAGAGGCTTCGAGTCTGTGTCCGAGGATCCTGTTGTCTCTGGCGTCATCGCTGGCCACTATGTCCGAGGACTCCAGAAGTCGGGCGTGAGCGCCACTCTCAAGCACTTTGTATGTAATGACATGGAGAGTGAGAGGATGGCTGTGGACTCGCTCGTGACGTCTCGAGCGATGCGCGAGATCTATCTTTTGCCATTCATGATTGCTACTGAGCTGGGTAAGCCCCGTGCGTTCATGACTTCATACGGCAAGGTCAACGGAACCCACTGCTCGGAGAATAGCCACATCTTGCAGGACATCCTTCGAGACGAATGGAAGTGGGATGGCTTGGTGATGAGTGACTGGTTTGGAACATATAGCACATCCGAGGCGGTCAATGCCGGCTTGGACCTAGAAATGCCAGGTGCAACCAGATGGCGCGGTGTTGCATTGAGCCATGCGGTCTCCTCCAACAAGGTCAAAATGTCAGTCCTCGATGACCGAGTTAGGAACGTTCTCAAGTTGATCAAGCACGGGCTAGAGGAGACATCGATCCCTCCAAACGCTCCCGAGAAGCAGCTGAATACTCCCGAGCACATTGCGCTGCTTCGGGAAGCTTCGGCAAAGTCTCTCGTCCTGTTGAAGAATGACAACCAAGTCTTGCCATTCAGCCCCAATAAGAAGACCGCTGTCATTGGCCCCAACTCCAAAATTGCCACATATTGCGGAGGTGGGAGTGCCAGTCTGCGAGCGTATGCTGCCATCACTCCGTTTGAGGGTATCAGGGCTGCTGTCGAAGATGTTATGTTTTCTCAGGGCGCATATGGGCACCAGATGCTGCCTCTTCTCGGGGACTACCTGAAAACTCTCGATGGAAAACAAGGATTTACTCTACGGATGTACAATGACCCTCCGCCCTTGGACGGCAAGGATACCCGCATGGTAATCGATGAGCGTGTGTTGGACGCAACCAACCCCTGGTTCGTAGACTATGAGCATCCCGAGCTATCAGAAGTCTGGTTTGCCGAGGCGGAGGGTATCCTCACACCTGAGAGGTCTGGAGACTGGGACTTTGGCCTTGCCGTCCACGGAACGTCCGAGTTGTTTATCGATGGAGAATTGGTTGTGTCTAATGTGGAAAACCAGCGTCCTGGAAGCAGCTTCCTGGGCTCTGGAACAGTAGAAGAAACCGGCAGCAAGAGCCTGGTCGCCGGCCAGAAATATCGCCTCCTTGTCAAGTGGGGATGCTCCAAGACCAGCAAGCTAAAGATCTCAGGCGGTGTTGACTTTGGCCAGGGAGGTCTTCGCTTCAGTGGATGCCCCAGATTAGATCCCACAGCCGCCATCAAAGAAGCAGTCGAAATTGCCCGGTCAGCCGAGCAAGTCGCGCTCTGCATTGGCACCAGTGGCGAGTGGGAGTCCGAGGGACAAGATCGCCCAAGCATGGCCCTCCCGCCAGGGACAGATGAGCTTGTCACCGCTGTACTTCAAGCAAACCCCAACACAGCCATCGTTGTTCAAAGTGGTACCCCGGTGTCTATGCCCTGGATTGACCAAGCCAATTCAGTCGTTCAGGCATGGTTTGGCGGCAACGAATGTGGAAATGGAATTGCCGATGTCTTGTTTGGCAAGGTGAACCCGGTAAGTATAAGCTAAGAATCCACAGGCTGTGTCAGTTGGTATTTCTAACCGCCATTTTCAGGCCGCAAAGCTTCCACTCACCATTCCTCGCCGTGTTGCAGACAACCCTGCCGCTTTAAGCTTTCGATCCGACAACGGAAGAGTGCTCTATAGCGAGGATGTCTATGTAGGTTACCGATGGTATGACACTCTCGACATTGAGCCTCTTTTCCCATTTGGACACGGGTTATCATACACCAACTTTGCTATATCCGACCTGGAAATTGAAGCATCTAATCCCGAAGAGATGACTGTCAAGGTCCAAGTTAAAAACACAGGTGCCTTGTCTGGCGCCGAAGTTGTCCAGGTGTATATTGCACCAGCGGCATCAACCCCCCTGAGTGCATCCCCAAGGGAGACCATCACTCGGCCATCCAAAGAGCTCAAGGGTTTTGCCAAGGTCCATGTCGAGCCAGGGGCTACTGAGCCCGGCGAGATAAAGCTGGACGTTCTGCGTGCCACGAGCTACTGGAGCGAAATGGAAGATTGCTGGCGTAGCGACGCAGGCGAATACGGTATCTTGGTAGGCACGAGCAGCCGAGGGGCTTTCCTTGAGACTTCGTTTGTACTTCAAAAGACGCGACGGTGGAAGGGTTTGCGCGCATAGTCTCTGTTTGAATAGAAGCTTGAACTGGATATTGAATCAATTAATCTTTTGCAATCTTGGTTCTAAGGGAGCGTTTGATTTGATCTCACCGTGAGATGTGAATTCGATCAATTTTTCTTTGGGGATACGGAAGTCGCCTGTTGGTGGTGACTTACCCTTCTGGAGAGGCAGACGAAGCGGATCGGACTGGTTAATGCTGTGCAGCTGATAAGGGTCCTCTACCTGCTTGGGGCCTGGAAAATTATATTCGTTCTCGAGGCAGAGGAATTTTTGTGCAGGAACATAATTTCTGGGCTTGGAATTGGAAGAAACAGGATGGGAGTCATGGGAGGGAGCGCAGGATCTTGGAAGGAGCCCGGGCAGTCGTTGGCGGAAATGCAGGTGGCATCAGCGCTGTAATTTCAGTGAGTCGCTCGTTAGCGTACCCGTTGCCGCTGCTGTGGCGGCTACACCTTCTGTAACTGCTGTATCTCACTCATTCACACGGGCAATTGCACTGAGGGGACAGCGCCTGCCTCCGGAGAGGTGGATCGCCGAGCCCCGTCCGCCGAACAGATGAATTGGATTGACACCTTCTTGAGAGTAGGTACTTAGATGTAATCCAGGATCACTTTTCTGTGGAATTCGGGAAAGTGACGGCAGGGCAAGCGGATGGTCTCGAATGCTCTACAGAAAGCTGAATTCAAGCTCCTTCCTGATTACAATTTGCGTGATTACGCTGTTCGCCGTCATCAAGCGGGGAAGTTCGCTGTCCGAAGGTACCGCCAATTATCAATGGGACGTCGGCAGTTCACATGGGACCGAATCCATGCATGTCATCATCGACCTGATCTACGGCTACCGAGAACGGCATACTGGTAAACCTTATCGCAGCGTGGCTGCTGACTTGGGATTGAAAATAACTACTAAGCTACAAGATGAGAGCTCTCGTAGAGGTATAAAGTGGCCTTGGCCGTGCATACTTTGCATTCTCGGCAGCACTTAAGTTTTCCTCTGGCCAAACTCCCCGACCAGCAATCAACACGTCCCCGTTCTAGTCGACAGAGACCAAAAAACCAACATGTCCAAGATTCTCACTGTTTTCGGCGCCACCGGCACCCAAGGCGGCTCGGTCATTGACGCCGTCCTAGCTGACCCTGTCCTCTCCAAAGAATACACCATCCGCGGCATCACTCGAGATGTCAACAAACCCGCTGCGAAAGCACTTGCCGATAAGGGGGTTAAGATGGTGTCTGTTAGTTGCCGCTCCCCAAGCTGTAATCATATCCTTCGATAAATAGTACTGACTTTATTTCCTTACTAGGCTGATATGAAATCAATCGAGACTGCCAAACCTGCTGTTGAAGGCGCGCACACCGTCTTCTTCGTCACCAACTACTGGGAGAAGTGCTCCGCCGAGCTTGAAATTTCCCAGGGCAAGGCTGTGGCCGATGCTAGCAAGGCCGCTGGCGTCAAGCATCTCATCTTTTCCTCTCTCCTCAACGTTACCGAGGCCAGTAAGGGGGCTCTCCCACATGTCGAACACTTTGATTCCAAAGCTGCCATTGAGCAGTATATCCGTGATATCGGCATCCCAGCCACCTTCGTCCAGCCTGGATTCTACATGTCCAACTACATAACCCAGTTCAAAAAGAACGACGATGGGAGCTACACGCATGCTATGCCAGTTGACGGGGAGAAAGCTCAGGTTCCAGTTTTCGACGCTGCCGGTGATACCGGTACGTGCAGATCTAAAGAAACACCGTTGAGAGCAATGTTAATAATCCTCTGCAGGCCTTTTCGTCAAGGCTGCGATCAAAGATTCTGCCCCCTCTGGAAAAAGGATCTTGGCCACCACTGAATACTTGACCCCGAATCAAGTTGTGGCCGACTTCACTGCAGCCACCGGGAAAAAGGCCACGTATAAGCAGGTGTCAAATGACGTCTACAAGTCGTTTCTCCCTGCATCTTTCGCGCAGGAAATGCTTGAGAACATGCTTCTGCTCCAAGGCCCGGGATACTATGCGGGTGCAGACCTCTCCAATAGCTTGGCCCTTCTCGACCGCAAACCGACTACCTGGAAGGATTTCGCGAAGACGAACAAGGGTAAATGGGCATAGGAAGGGGATGGATACAAAACGTGTAGGCGAAAGGAGACCAATGATTCATCGGGAATCAGCTCTGCTAATGGAGCAAACCATGCCGAGCTTGTGGAAGTTGAAGTCCATACTGTGAAGGGACCTTTGAAGGCATCAGCAGTTTCAAAGGGTTGTGAATCACGTTGAACTCTTGTTTACTTTCCACCTAACCGCGTAGTGTCAATACCAAGGTTGCCTAAGCTGAGAGTTCTCAACTCACCTGACCAATGACTTGTGCAGTACTGCTCACCTGGCCAATCACTTGTGAACTACGGACACCCGGCAACACGGCAGCAGTTGTGGTGAACGCGTCAGGTGGGGCCAAGGGGCAAACAACAGTTCCAGCAGCTGACTGTTTACTCTTCCCTAAGTGTATAGCTTCCCACTCTTCCTTTCTCATCATTTTCTTCTTCTACATCAACAACCACGCTCAAAGAAGCAGACGAAATGCCGGACACTCCTTTCGCCTGCGTCATCTGCGGCACCTTCATTTACGATGAAGACGTGGTCCCTCATGGTTATCACGATGCCGTGCCATGGCTGAATATATTTCGAGGAAGTATGACAAACATGCGGCTCCTCCATTCCACAGAGAGACTTCGAAACTGACAAAAACTTTCTCTAGTCTATCGTGACCAGGGGGGAATCCATCTTACTGGGGTCAGTCGCAACGATGAAAATCCAGGACTTGGATACACAGCACCTCGGGACGTTCATGCCAGATGGGACGACCCAGAGTACGACCTACAAGACGACAGCGTTGACTTCGGTGCCATGACACAGCGTTCTGTAAACGGTCGATACGGGTTTGTCTTTCATGAATCCTGTTGGGCACTTTTGGAAGAAGCTTTTGCGCCAAACGAAGTCCCACTACAACGACTCTTTGACGTCTTCTCATCAATCCCCATCGCCTGGGACACTATGGATTGGGACCATACTTACGGTGGTCTTCACCGACAACTTGATCTGAGCCATTCGTTCCCTTGGGAGCCTCGCGGAATCGTCTTTCGAAATGAAACGTTCCTAGAAGCTCATGACCCCTATCAGGATTTCAACCTTTCGGGCGAAGCACCAGAGCACCCTCCCCCAACGACGCTAGAAGGAAACCGCCGAGCAACACATGACCCATTTCTGCGATTTCCACTGGAGATAAGGCTGATGATCGTTGAAGAGATGAACACTTCCGACTTCCTGAGATTAAGACTGATCTCGAGAGCTTTTTGGCCCGTCTTCCACATGCAGCCCTTCTGGCTTTCACGGTTCAGAGACGGCGGCGAAAGGTCGTGGACCACGTCCGCACTTGGTCCATATAGGCGCGATTAGAGATCGCTCTTTGTAAAGACCAACTATTCCCGCCTGTCATTCGGCTTAGAGAACCTCGAACGGATCATGGGGACTATTGATGACCTAGTGGAAATCCTGCATCTTGAACAGATGCCCATAGCCGAACCTCCTCGCTCTATGAAGTCTCCAGAAAATTACACCTGGGAGGAGATCTCGGGCCATCTGATGCCAACTAGAGAGGAAGCTGAAATCGCCAACAACAATCAGGCTGTTGTCTCAGACACCATTGACTTCGGTTCTGGATGCCGACCTATATACACTGCGTCGATAGACTACCCATCGAACAGATCGCATATTGCATTCTATTTTGTCAGCGTTGGAGGAGCCGCATTCGCACCTCCACCAATGTTCCTTTGCGGCCTAGAGATCTTCACCAGCGATCCAAATGAAGGCCAGTTCTTGCTGGGTTACAGGTCGCCCTTGCGTCGAACCCACACGTTGGGCCCAAAGACAGATGTGACGGGTTTTACCGTCGCCGTGGGATCACGAGGGATCTCCGGCATTAAAGTACAGACAACGGAGGGCCTCGAATCGCCTTGGTATCAAGGCGATGATGGGGACGAAAACCCAGAGAGCATGAGGGCAGTGGGCCTCAGCCCCATCTGCGGGATCAAAGCCTCATTTGATGTGAGTAAAACTTGTAGGAACGCGAACCAATGTCACGCTAATTAACGCTCCTTACTTCTCAGGGCTTTAAGATTGTCGCCCTCGGTATAGCTCAACGGCGAGACCCCGAGCCTCAGCCGGAAAAGTCGCTGAAGGAGTCAGCAATTTGGTATCCCGAGATTGCGCACTATCCGGTCTGCTTGAACGAGAAAGTTCTCCCGAACCGACAGTTGTACTCCACAGGATATTTTCCACTGTTCTGGGTATCCTTTGGAGGTGTTGGAGGCAAAGACCTCGAGTTGCTGAACAGTATTCAGATAACCATGGTGGACGGTATATGGGCAATGGCATTCGCGTATAGCGACGGTCGCGAGATGGAAACTCTGGGACGACATAACTACAACATGGACCTGGACCCGGAAGCTCTCAACATTGAGGCCTATGAAATCGATGGTTCACGTGGCGAACGAATTTCCTCGATCTCATTGTGGTACGATAGCGACACGTTTGTCCCAGGACAAGTCAACAAGCCGTGCGGCATCTCCGTGAGTTTCTCCTCTCTTTCTTTCGGGATCAATACTTACTGAGGCAGATTCATACGAATTGGGGCATCTCTCGTCTGTTTGGCGACGGTGGGATCGTGCCGGGGTACGTGACGAAGCACGTGAAGCCTGAAGACGGCACAGTTATCACGGGGCTTTATGCCAACCAGGTAAGGGGTGCCTTTGTTTTGATAAATTCGGGAGCGATATTGACCTAGATTGTAGTTACCCGACTCCGGATTTACGGCAATTGGACTCATGTCAGAAAGAGTCGAGTCGGGACAGTGCAGCCTTGAGTCAATGGAACGTTTACGACTTGAATAAGAAGCTGCAGAATGGGCAGGAGATGTGTGCTTGAAAACTCATTGAACTTGTTGAATTTGGGGTGAAGGGACCGAGGTTTCAAGTTACGTGGAGGTGCAAGAGACAAAAACTAGGAGCAGACAAGAGACAAACAAGGAAGAGACAAGCCGAGACGTTCCTGCGGGGTCGGAAAGAGTGGTCGTTTATTTGCGATTGACTAGAGAAAACGGTGATGCTGATTAAAATGAACCTTTTATTCTAATAATTGAAATTCTTATGAAGTGCAGGCCTTTTTTTTGTGAATACGTGGGGTCGATGTGATGGTTATCAGTCAGTCTCGCCAACCACTTGCTTCTTGGCGGCCATGTCATTATAGCGTCCTAACTGGACAAGTGATTATTAATTATTGAATGCAAGAGATACGAGGGCCTATAACAGTCATTGTCATTACTTGATCTGTCTAGGTGGCTTTCAAGGCGACTTGACGTCACCAAATATTGTCGGATTGCCTAGTAACCCAGCTTCTGAATGCGCGTCCACTGCAACGACACACTCTCGCCCGATATTTCACCACGATCAGCGCCTAAGAATACCCACGGCTATACTCCCCGATGTGAGGATTAGCATCTGTGCAAAGATGTCGACCTAGAATCCCGATTCGTTATCTGACGATTGAAAGATCTGCAGGGAGGTGCCGTTCAGAGCCGATTGGATATAATTGTAGGCACTGGGGTCATCTTTCAAGTCCGTGACGGCAAGCAGGGAGATGTTTGCATGTAGCTTAGTGGCTGAGATGAGAAGGCCGCACAGAAGAGCCATATCTAGCGTTGATAGTTCTGATAGCCGTTAGCACGGATGCTGCTTTGCCATCGTCGCTCTGCGGGTAACTAAATGAGAGGAACACTTATACTGGCGAAGTCACAGAAGGCCATTTACTTGTACAGAAGGCTCAATTGGTTGTAGCTTTATCGTGGCGGCATTTTCGAAGCGAAATGTGCGCAGTCTTAGCAGCGAGAATGAGGAATAAGATGCAAGAATTGATAAGATTTCGAACCCTGTCTAACTCCGATCGTTATTCCAGAGGCACTGCAGATAGCCCTGAGTGCTTCCAGACAACATAGGGCGACTGCATGCAAGACTTCAAAGGTACCCCGATACGACCGTGTCGTCACGGTCCGTCCGAAGACTGTATACTCCTCCGGCTATCCGAGAAGATAGGACCTCCATGTTGGCCACGTTGTAAATAAGATTGATATTGATAATTGACACTTCATAATCCGCAGCCATAGACCTAGGGTGTCGAGCTTATCCGAATCTCAGGTTCTCAAAATCAAAAGATAATCCCGCCATAGGCCGTTAGCATGGAATATTTCGTTTAGGTTTCAGAACACTTACTCCGGTTATCTATCTCTCCATCCGTCAATTATGATTGGCATTGTTGATTGCAGAATGCTGCAGCGTATACACCTGCACAAACAACTGAGCTAATTGGTCAGGCCGCATAAGAAAGGCGAGTACGCGGGCGGAAAAATACTCCGGTGGATTATATCTGGCGGCTGTCTCTCAGGTATGCTCTTTCGTTGATTTTGCTGACATCTCCCTGGAACCAAGAGAATATCCCCGAGATGATCAAAAGATAGGAAGTTGTTGTATTCCATCTGGTTCTAATAATGGTCATACTCACAGGTGGCGAGCTGTTCTCGTCTAGAAACATGGTGAGAAACACTTGTATATAGCAAAGTTCTAGGCTAACCAGGATTGAATTTCTTCCAAGTTCACCTTGGTTTCGGTCCTTCATAAGAGGCTAGCTCTCTGGAAATTGGTCGACCACGTGCTCCTATACTTCTTCGGCAACCGGCTTGGGTCTCTTTTTGTCATGGCTATTCTCTTTGGGTGTAAGTCGCTCCCAGTGGAACGCACGGGGGTAGGGTTGTTTCTCGACAATAGCTTTTTCCTCCAGATACCGGCATTTCTGAAAACGATTTGTGCCGAAACCAGGTGATCTCGCTCACAAAGAAGAAGCAAGTAGATGCTGAAATGCATCGAATCTTCCTCCGCGCCATCGGGTGCAGATGGCTTGGTTTACGTGGCTGTTTTCTGGGGACCAGTCAAAGGAGTAAATATCCAATGAGATTGAAATTCATCTTTATGTCTTCGCTTTGTGGAATTGGGATTCGATCGCGTCGTGGCCAATGTGTTCTTCATACCATTGGGCCTTCGGGTAGGGACACCAAAGCTGACGGTCGGGCTCTAGGTCTGTAAAGGTCAGTCACCATTCAAATTATACTTTGCATAGACAATGGCCACACTAATTATCTCTCCAGGTATGGTTCCCGCTACTCTTGGGAATTTTCTTGATGGAGTTCTGTTTTGCGGTGCGTGCTACTGGTGGATGTTCCTTCTCGACGAGAAACGTGCAGAGAGCAGCATTAGAAGACCGCAAATCATCACAAGTTGTGATTCGGGTCACCTGAGCGACACAGCAAAGGGGATTTCGGATGCGAAAGAGGCCAATAGAGTCAGTATACAGGCAATAATAGTGGATCTAAAGGGTGATATTTAGGAGTGTTCTGCTGAAGTCGGTGTTTGACAAGCGCCACCACCTGAGATACCTGGAAGGCAGGCGCCTCCCTACCTCCTTCCCACCATACTAGTACCTTTCTCTTTCTGCCTCAGGTTTCCAGCCCTCCGCGTGTTTCTCTTGCAAGTGGCCTAGGAAAATTCCCTTTCCTGCTTGTTCAGATCTTCAAGTTGATTTCATCAATCTCGTCACTGCTTCCTCTTAACCAGAAGCTCAATCTCAACCCGGTTCAACGCGCCAGTCAACTCCGAAGCCCTCTCATCCGCTTTCCAATATCCATTTCCCTTTTAAGCCAAATATCTGAATCGCAGTTTTCGGTTGCCGCAATGGATCGCGACATGGTCAGCATCTTATTCCTCGTCATACTCTATCTTCTTTGTCCACATGTTCACAGGTAGGTCTTCCAAATTGTAAAATAGCGGTTTGAAATGATGTTCTTGCACACTACTCTACCGTTGGAACGCCGGTTGAAAGCTAACCGAGCAACCCAGGATTATACGAGACCAAGTACTTCCTCGGAGGGGGCAAAATTAGCTCATGGTCAAGCGTGCCCATCAGTTTTTTGGTCATCATTTAAATCTCTGCGAGCAAATTGGGCTGCCAAACTTGGTGCGGAGCTTCTGTCTTTGTACAATAGTTCGGGGCCTTTGTCGAACGAGATCAGGAGAAACACTGTATCAAGGGGCAAAATGATCAGATAAATCACAATATCAACTAAGTTCCACGTTGTCTTGTTTTTGACGACATCAACTCTAGAAAGTAGCATCCCTTTCCTTACCATCTTAGCTGGCGAAATGCATCAGTGACCACTATGTACCTACCTAGGTACCTACCTACCTACCTAACCTACCTACCTAACCTACCTACCTCACCGTCCAGGTAGGCAGGCACCGGCCGCCCAATACCTGCCTGCCTGCCTGCTTTAGGCAGAGACAATAACATTACCCCGCACTTGTTTCCCTCTGCGCTTGCCTCATCTGCCCCCCTTCACTTGCATCTCACTTATCATAACCTCGACTCCTTTCTTTCCATCCGCCACCTCAACTCCTTTCTTTCCATCCGCCACCTCAACTCCTTTCTTTCCATCCACCACCAGACGAACACTGAACTTGACACAAGTACGCAGGAACGACATCCATCTTTTCCAATATGGATTTGATCAAAGCGGATGGTAAACCTTTGTCAACCTTCCAAATTGCTCGCGTCCTCTGCAGGGAACGAGTTATTGCCGTGCCCACACTCTGGACAAACCTCCATCTTGATTTACTCGAATGCTCTTTCGGTAGAGTCACCTATGATCAGTTTGCTGAAAAAGAAGAAGGGCCCGCTACCCTGCTGTTGGTTTTCGCGTCATTCGCCTATTTCAACACTTGGAGGCGATCCCACTCAGTAGCAAAGCTCATTTGCAAGGACAAGGATATCTACTTGGAGTAAGTAACGTAGTTTCAAATCAACCCTTTTTCCTCGCTGACAAGTTTCATTCGTGAACTCTTAGTGACAAAGTATGCCTCTTCTTTGAAGGCAAAATCGCGGAGGTGCTTCCATGCACTACTTTCCATGTCCAGCCCGTCGCCAATCACGCGCGCTCCCCCCCTTTCGCGGCCTATGCGGACTTGGAACGTCTTCAGAGGATCCGAGAGCGCTATTTTGAGCCGTCAATGAAGTATGCAAGGAGCAGTGCAGCTTAGAAGATTGCACAGTCCTTGTGTGACATCAAGCTCAAGAAGGCAACACCCGAAGTCCCGATGCAGGACCCATACATTGCAGCGATCTTGATCGCAATGGCACAAGAGCAACAAGCATCTGCATTTGAGGTTTATCCAGGCCCCTATGTGATGCAAATGACAGTATGGAGACCTCCTATGGCTGTGACTCAGAATGTTGCTGACAAGTCGAAGTTTCGACCAAAACTCGTGGTGACGAAACCCGATTCCTTTTGCGTTTACCTGTACCGAACAAACATCAACTCCACTTTTCTGTGCAAGTTCAGCGATCCGGGTGTCCAACCACCACACGCAACAAGCATGGAAATTCAGATCAGCGCCATCCCATTGAAGCCCCTCTGCACCCTTGGTCGCCGCCTCCTGGAGCTTGTGCTTCCGGAATGAAGAGGCCTCCCACTTGTGGGGGAGAAGTAGAGGATTGTACTATGGAAAGCTTGAATTCATGTTTGCTGACTTGCAACAGTGGAATTTCGTGGGAATTTTGCTTCTATTTGTTCTTGCACCATTGAAACGATGATGAAACAGGGATTTCCAACGAAAGCCGGGAATGGCATTAGACGAAGTTGTGATAATGAGATGATTGCCTGAATTTTTCAGAGGGAGGAGTTTCTTCAAACAGTAACGATGAGTAAATCAGTGTTTTAGTTTCTTTTTCTATTTGTCGACTTACGATGCCATGTAACACAGGTTGTTTGGCAGATTTCAAGCTCCTTGTGCTCCAGTTACTGGCTCGGCCCTGAATTGATGACAAATTTTACAAAATTCCTTCCACGATGTTTGGTGATATTTATGAGGTATTGTCAATTCAAACCTTTGCTCAACGGGGTGGAGGTTGTCGCTACAGGGTAGGTCCATAGCATGGCTCGCTCGCTCGTGAACAGGCGGCCGAGAGCTGCCGAATTTTGCGCGAGGCAGTTGGAGTGCTGCTGGGCACTGACTAAGCCAATCTACCAAGCCACAAAACAACGCGCAAGCCACATGTTCTTTGTCCAATTTTTTGGGATTGAAATGTCGGAGAGCTAAGTAGCGATGGCGTTTGTAATTTGAAGAATGATCTGAAGACTCACCGGTCATCGAAGCGTTCGCAGCTACTCTTCATCACATGGTAGATGCGCTGAGCTGTGGCATAGTCCTGAGAAGTGTGGCTGTTCGTCCAGCTGAACCGAGCCTGAGCTGAGTTTCGCTGACATAATGGGCTTGACCACACTAGTCTAACCTAATTTGATTTAGAACGCAGGTGCTCCAACGATTGAAGAGACCGAAATCTTAGCGAACGAACTCCCTGCAACATTATTCGGCCCCCTCGGCTCCTGGAATTGGCGATACCTACAAGATGGAACCAAACATGTATAAAACTGCCCTCCGCGACCTTGGATGAATTTATCCAATGTGCAAAGCATCAAGATTCGAAAACTAGAGCAACTATTACAACTTCTCTTCGCAACCTTCCATACCAATCTCAAGTCGCAGTCTTCATCATGGGCAAAGTCGAGGTATATGCACAAATCGACATCGCTGCATCTCCAGACGCAGTCCGAAAAGTGGTAAGTGGGGATTGGTCCCAAATCTTACCATAACTTCTGAAGATGTTAATGATGTGAAATAGTTCTTGGATTTCGCTCGGTACAATGAATGGCAGAAAGGCTGGGACATCACGCTTATGGACTCCACCAAGACGCAGTCTGATTTGGAGGTTGGAGACCGTCTTAGAGTTGCCATGCATGGGATGGTCTTTCGACCGTACATTGAGGTATGTTTTCTGGAAAACTTTACTTGACTACACAATCAAATCTTGTCTAACGGCCACGCTAGGAGAATTCCCCGGAACGTTTCACTTGGGCCGGATCGATACCTATTCTCCTCACAGGTCAACACTCGTTTCTCTTTACTCCTAGCAAAGACATTGCAGGAGGTACCACATTCATTCAGACCGAAAATTTCGGTGGCGCCCTGGCTGTTATGTACTCTCCTTTCGCCAAAAAGGAACCGGCACCGTCCCCGAATTGGGAAGCCTTTAATGAAGCGTTGAAGCAAGAGGCAGAAAAGCGTTATCCTCTTGTTTGATATTTCTACCTTGTGGTTATTTCTATGATTCATTCTTTATTAGTCAAGCTAGCTTGGATTTTAATTGCCCTACAGAGAAATACAAACTGTCAGATTGTTCTACGAGTACTTCATCCCGTGAAGTGTCGATGTTACAGTCCACAATTGTCTAACTTGGCAGGGTGGTATGCTTAATCTGACATCTAAATTCTAGCTAGCATCTAGAATCTCACTGCATTCTCCCTTACTGTACACGCTTTGGGTGTGGTGTCAAGCATTATGTTGCATCCCTCGACGGAGGACCTCGGCTAAATATGCTTCGAACAAGGGACGGGAAGTGACCCTGACCAGACTCTCGGGTCGCTCAAGAGGCGAGGTTGTCCGACACATTAGCCTTATCTCATAGCGAACATGCAATGGTGTGATACCGGAGGCCTTCACCGTCTCACCATCTTATTTTCTGTCTTCATTGACTCGGACTCGCCCTGCATAGGAGGTTGATAAATGAACCATGATTGGAACCGGTAGAAGATATCAGAACGGGATGCATACCGATTGGTCAATTGTATAAAAAGTTGGGGTAGGGACCCTTGCTCGATTAATTAAGTCGTTGATCTGATGCTCTATTGGAGCAATAACACCCCGGAAGGGTGTGGAGAGTCTTGGATTATCAGCGTCCCCCACAACTGAACCATGCTCGCCACCTTGGATTGATTGCTGAGGCCGGAGGCTTTGCAGGGTGACCGGGCTCGTTATCCGACGGAAGCTGTTGACGGCCCCGAGTTCGCTGGAGCAATTGGCGGCCAGAGACTCTTGCGCCTCCCGCATTTTGTAAGGTGCACTCCCTTCCAACTTTACCCAGCGACTTCCCTCCTTCATCGCCGCATTCCAGTTTTAGTTATTCGCGATTCCAACATTCCTAATGCATCCCTGCGATACAGAGCAGAGGATGAAGATGGATAAAACGACCATTCCATCGCCGGCATCGATGCCACCAACGCTACGGATAAATGCAACAACGTCCGAGCCGTATCGACATTCCGCAATCGTCCACCCTAACCAAGGATCTCTATCTAATCAGGCCACATTGCGTATATCCGATCCAGTTACGGAGAACCTGGAATCCCTGCGAACTGTACCCCGCCTGTAGCTTTGCCGCTAGGTGTCCGGACCAGCTGCCCGTTTGGGTAGAGTACAACCTCCCTCTATCTGTGGTTTCCCCAGACCTTGTCTAATGCCTGATATCTTATCACCCAGAACTTTTGTCTCCGCGTGATGGCTTCTATCTGTGGCCCTTCTAATCCTTGGCTCCTCAATGTCACCTCGTCCGAGTGATAGCCTATCGCCCCGCTACCGACGGCTTGGGCAAACCAACACACGTGCCAATGGACATCCCCCGAGACTTCAAGCCATGATGGGGTATAAATAATACGACTTGCTGTCTCTCGATCAAGACACCCTCTGACGTTTTCAGTCCCCCTTCAGCCACACGCCTCTTGTTATTGTTTAGGCCCCAGGTCTAGCATAGCAGCAGCTATGGACGTACACCAGGTTGCCTCCTCCTCAACGGAGCCTCCCCCCTCCCCATCCGCCAAGACTGCGGAGAAGATCCAAGTTGTGGAAAAAGTCAAGAAGTCCCACCAGTGGGATCCCAACCTGCCCCAGGAAAAGGTTGACGAGATATCTGCTGCACTCGATACAGGGGAGGTAGAGATCATCGCTGAAGTCGAGAAAGACCTTGCAACTAAGTCGCCATACGAGGAAGTCCGGGCTGCCGTCCGCGAAATCGATAATGGAGAATATGCGAATACCGTGAGGTCTTGGGTTCTGGGCATGCTATTTGTGACAATTGTTTCCGGAGTCAATATGTTTCTGAGCATGCGCAGCCCGGCAATTACTATCCCCGCTGTGGTTGTGATTCTCATTACATACCCCATCGGCGTCCTCTGGTCCAAGATCATGCCCATGCACAAGTTCAGGACTTTCGGTGTTGAATGGTCGCTCAACCCTGGGCCCTTTTCCGTCAAAGAACATGCTGTCATCACGCTCATGGCCAAGATTACAGCGGATTACCCGTATTCGACCAATGCTCTCGAGGCGTTGCAGGCACCATCGCTATACAACCATAATCTTGGATGGGGGTTTGCTCTCATGTTTACGCTGAGCAGTCAAATCATTGGTATCTCCATGTCAGGCATGTTCCGGCGATTCCTGGTCTGGCCATCTGCAATGGTATGGCCTGGCCAGTTCGGTACCACTTCTCTGCTCTATACGCTGCACGACACCAGCAAGTCTGAGCAGGTCAGTGCCAATGGCTGGAAACTTTCTCGATACAGGTGGTTCTGTTATCTTGCAATTGGATCGTTCTGCTACTACTGGCTCCCGGCCGTCATCTGGCAAGGACTCTCAGTCTTCGCATTCATCACCTGGATCAAGCCCAACAGCGTTGTTGTCAACCAGCTCTTTGGAGGTGTGTCTGGGTTGTCTCTGATTCCTATCACCTTTGACTGGACCTACATCTCCGCCTACTTGAGCAACCCTATGCTCTCTCCGTGGCACTCGCACCTGAACTGTCTTATTGGACTTGGAATCTTCGTCATTATTCCCACACTCGGCATGGCGTACTCCGGGACATTCTTCTCTGAGTACCTGCCCATCAACACCTCGCGAACTTTCGACAACACGGGACACAGGTATAATGTGTCGAAGATTCTCACAGACGACTTCAAGTTTGATGAGGAGGCTTACAAGAACTACTCTCCCATGTTCCTCGCACCAACGTTCTTCCTCAACTATGGTCTGTCATTTGCGACCTTGACTGCTGCGCTGGTTCACACAGCCCTCAACCACAGCTCTGAAATCTGGTATCGCTTCAAGGCAGCAGGCAACCAAGAGCCAGACGTGCACATGAGCATGATGAAGAAGTACAAGGAGGCTCCCGACTGGTGGTACGGAATTGTCTGGGTTTGCGCCATGGCACTGGGTCTCGCGACGACCTTGGGCTACAGCACTCAGCTCCCATGGTGGGGATTCATAGTCTCGTGCATCATCGCATTCGTGTTCATCATCCCCCTGGCGATGATCATGGGCATCACCAACATTCTCATCTCGCTCAACGTCCTCTCGCCGTTTATTGGTGGATTCATCTTCCCTGGACGCCCCATCGCCAACATGCTTTTCAAGGTCTACAGCACGATTGTCCTAGGACAGGCCCAAGTATTTAGTGGTGACCTGAAGTTTGCTCATTATATGAAGGTGCCTCCTCGTACCACCTTCTTCTGCCAGATCTCGGCTGCTATCTGGTCCGTGTTTGTTCAGATTGCCGTCATGGTAAGTTCCTT